AGTCACAGAGCTGGGACTACACCCCAACTTCCCAGACATCGTCCAGAATCAGTCTCTTAGCAGCTGTCTAAAACACGACCAAAAGTAGTGTTCCAGGCCACCCCGCCTTACAAAACCTTGCTATGTTGAATGGATTAAGGCTGTTTCCCCTTCTTCCCTTAAAGCTCCAACACATGCTTCCTTAGGATGATTCCAGTTATGAATTTTTTCATTGTTGTTATGAGGGTAAATTATTGAAGCAACCATTCTGGAAATCTGCTCTGTATTCGAGACTCCTCAAGGCTCCAACAGGAAAATAATAAACTGACATGCTGAGAAGCTGGGTCCTGCCCCTTCCTGTTTGCCTCGCACTGCAGACAGGTGTCTGGATGGGAAAACGGTCACCCCTGTCAGACGGAGTTTCCTGCACTGTCTTGCTCTTGTCTGCCAGCCGGGCCCAGGTCACCCCACAAGGCAGATGTGGGGAACAGCTGGTGTCTGGACAAACAAGGAAGGAAGGATGAAGGGAGCAGACAGACATCATTCTGGGCCAAGTGACCAGGAGGCCCGAGTTCCGGAGACTGGGAAGAGGTTAAGTTAGAGAGTTGGCTAGAAGGACGTTTGGGAGAAGATGCTGTGTGCTTGCCCCTTAGCCTTGAGTTCACACCCGGGACTCCTGTCTAGGCGAACGAGGAAGGAAGAAGTCCACCCACCAGGGGAAGGGCAAAATGCCTGGGCAAGATGCAAGTTCGATGTTTACGTCGAGCCGTAAACAACCAGATGTTTACAACAGGGGTTAGAAGTGACTGCCTCGTGGCTTAAGCTCCCGAGGTTCCCCTCTCAGCTCTATCACTTGCTGGCCGTAGGACCTCAGCCCTTCTCAGCCTCAGCGGCCTTGAATATAAAATGAGGACAACAAGACACCACCTACAATAGGGCGACTGTGTGATGAAAAGAGATGACACATGCAAAAGCAGTTACCACGATGCTTGGCGCACCGCGAGCCCTCCATAAACAGGAGTGATCGTCGTTCGGAGCCCGGAAATCCTAAATCCTACACTCAGCTCTGCTACCCCGTACAAGTGAGTTCACTTCTCTGAGCCTCCACTGAGTCTACCTTGTCGGGTTTTTCTGGGGTCTCAGAGTGAGACAATAGGCACAGAGACTCCCCACCACAGCCAGGCACGTAGTATGTGCTCCGCTAATGACCGTCACTGAAGAAGGTGCATGAAGCCAATCTGCTGTCTCAGTGAGCTTCTGAGTGCCAGGCCATGTGCTCACGGGCATGGAACTCCCCACGATGGGTACCCCGGGGCCAAGAGTTCAGGCAGGAACTGACCAGCACCAGCAGTATGGAGCAGGGAATGAGAGGACGGAAGCCAGCCTCTGGCCTCTCCTGCCGTTAAGAGGCTTCCTGCTGGGGAAGCTGGAGACAGAAACCAGGACTTTTTTCCACTCAGAGGAAACTGCTGTCTGGGACGTCAGGGATGGCTGGCAAGGCTGGGAGCCTCAACCACTCCCCACCCTGTCTTTGCTGCTGGGAAAAGCTGCTTTCACCTTTGCCAAGGGGAGGGGTCCCCTCTCCAAGGTTCCCTGGCAGCCGGGGCTCGCGGTAAATTGTGTCCAACCAGAACTGGGAGGGTTAGGCCCAGGCACACGGAGGACTCAGCCCCATGCACAAGCGTGAGCTGGGCTCTCGCATCAGGCAGGCCTGGGTTCGCGTTTGGACCTCAGCACTCGCGGCCAAGTGAACTCAAGCCTGTCCTGCGAGGGTTCTGAGCCCACACTGGCTCACCTAGGCACGGGGGCTGACAGTGACCTGTTGGAGTGGCCACGGGGATTCAAGAAGCTGACGGAGGACACGTGTCTGGCAGGATGTCTGACAGCCACGGCAACTCACCGGGGGGTGTCTCTTTCCTTCTCTGTTTCTCCACCTGCTGTCTCGGTAAACCAGCTACTGCGGGAAGTGGAGTTGGGCGGGTGTAAGTGTGTTGAAGCATTCGACAAGCGGGAGCCTATGTAGAAGTTAAACTGGGGAATTTAAACGGTAGGAAGTACGAGCTTCATCTGAGATCCCTTTCTCCTCCAGAAGTCAGACTCCCAGGAATCTCAAATCCGAAGAAAGCCTCCAACACTGTGAGTAACGAACAACTATGGCAAAGCCATATGTACCAGAAGAGAAGCCGGGAGGCCCGGTCACCCACACTTCCCACGCAGTGCTCACAGGCCTCCCCAGCCTGTCTTCAACACCACTCCTCTCCAGGAAAGCTACTCACTCTCAGGGCTCAGTGTAAACGTCGCTTCCTCAGAGAAGCCTTCCCTGACCTTCACACCAGTCTCCGTAACCTTCCGCACCTTTCCTTTACTGCCCTTTGACAAAGGCACTGCAGTGCCTGGCTGGGCACCTCACCACCTAACGCCTGGCTCCCCTAACGGCCCGTGAACTTCACAGGGGCAGGTGCCAATCTGTCTGGACTTGGCTCCGGGTACACAGCTCAGTATAGTGCTGAGCCCTCACAGACGCTCAGGGATCACACATCTTACTGCATGAAGGAAGCTTGGCTCTCTGTCTGCATTCCGCAGCCTCGGCCGACAAGGAGGATCACCCATGTAAAGTGGAAGAAGGGGATCTTTTCACCCCAAAAGCCAAAATTACATACATAATGTGGGTAGAAAAGGAAAGAAAGGAAACAACAACAAAAAAAAGACTAGGAAGCATATTCAGGACTATCAAAGAACGAACAACTCTGGGTCCCTTCCTAAAGAGGCAGCACCTAAGGGCCGGGACGTCTGAAGTTGTTGCAACCGAACCCAGAAGGAGCAGAGGGTCAAAATGGCCATTTGGTGTACATAGATGTTTTTACAAGTGACTGTAATCATTTGGAATCTGCACCTGAAGCTCAGTCTCATGACTTCATGTTCCTACCACGCGCTCTGTAGAAACAGCAATCCATTTAAGGAAGTCTCCCAATAAAAATAAATTAGTTTTTTTTTTAATGTTTTTGTATATAAAGTTATAGTTCGTAGGAAAATTCTTTTAATCAGAGCTGCTCTTGCTCCAATGGATGGTGTCACATGACTACTGCGTCATAATTCTACCCAAACTTCTGTTTAAAACACACACTTCATTGTCCATTCACTTTCGAAAACGGACTCCAACAAATAAACTGGCGCTATTGTCCTCTGTATTCATCTGGCACCAGGCGCCAGAAGCCTTATAAATGCTCACACCTTTTATCCTAGTCATTTCAGTTCTAAACGGCAATTGTGAAGGAACAGAGCCGGAGAAATATTTACCTGCAAAGATATTCACCAGCCTCATTATTTATCATGGTGGGAAACCGAAATAACCCACAAGTTAGAAAGAACAGCCTAAGGTGAGTGGTTTCATAAATCATGATCCATCACAACCCTCTACTAAATAATAACAGAGCAAAAACGATCGCCGGAAAGTTTATAATAATATCAGATCATTCTTCTGTATACAATTTCCTGTGCTAAGGCAAAACAACAACACAGGATCCTGCACTAGAAATGCTGCGAGGTATACACAGGCACAAATACCCACACGCTTACACTTCCCCACACAGTAAGATATGGCAGAAGGAAAAGCAATGGCTACTTCCGGGATGTGAGAAAAGCAATGATTCTGTTGTTCTCTCAGCTTTCTGGATTTTCCAAAAAGTAGAGTATGTGTGGTTTCATAATTGGGAGAAAGATAAAATTCATGGATAGGAAATGAATTTTATTCTACTGTATTTGAGCAGAAAGTATTGACTTTCGGCGTTTACTACATAAATCAAGGGAGGGGGCGAGCATGCTGAAGGGTTGCCCATACAAGCCCAGCTGACCCCAGGGAGCCCAGCAGCCCTTGTCATCAAAGATGCAATCTGACTGTGCTCCTTAGGTCTTGCCCTGTCCACCCCCGTATTCCAAGGCCAGAGGGAACGAATTCTTTTAAGGATGGTGCGACATAAAGGTACTTTGAACAAGCCAGAAACCTTGCTCTGTTTCTATCACTCACTCTGCCACCGTGGACAAAGCAGTTTTCCTGTAGGGGCCTCAGTTACCCCATTAGGAAGTGAGAAGTTTGGACCCGATAATCACTAACAGCACTCCCGCCAAGACTGACTATGACCGGCCTCGGGAACACGGTTCCCCTTTCTTTAAGGAGAGAGAGATTCGCTCAAAAGACTTTTTGGCTCAGATTATAGATGAGTACAAAACCAGAAATAGCTCCCCACTAACTCATTCATCACCAGAGCACTCCTCAACCCAGGCTGCCAGTCTGACCACCTCTCCCCGGCTCTTGGCTGGGGTCCCAGCTCTCATCAGGAAGAAAGTGGGGGGTGGTCACTGTTCCATGAGTGGTGGGTATGCACCCTAGTCAAATGTTCCTGTTTTACTCGAGACACCTGATTCACTCCTGCTGAACTCTAATATGCAAAGGAAGAAAATCACAACCGAGACCACACCCCCTAATTTTACAAAGAGATTATAAAATAATCAAAGGCTAAGTCTTACCTTGGTAGCAATGTCCCATCTTCTCTCTGCCCCTATATTTTAGCCATACATCCCAAAGATGCAAGTTCTCTCTAGGATTTTACAAGCAAGTCTCTTGCCCCCAAAGCTTTTCCTGGCCACCTTCCCGCTCCTTCTCCTTCTCCCTTAAGTTTCAGTGTCAATGCTGATCCTCTGATAGAGCCTTTCTCCAGCCCCTGGCCTGGGCCCTCCCAGTGCTCTATCCTCCCCTTCTAAAAGTATTGATTATACTTATATTTGTCTGCTTCCATGTCTGGCCCCAAGCTTTGAGGGTAAGGAAACATCTGCAAAGATCAGTCCATGATATTAGCTCAACTACTGCCTCAAAGAATAAAAAAACGTAATGCATCACAGCTTGGGGGCACACGCTGACACTACCAGGACAATGGGCTGTGCAGGGGGCTCCAGGCTGGGAAGTGGGAGAGGCCTGCAGGCGGTGCTGCCGGCGGGGGTTGGGGGTGGTGGTGGTGGTGTGTTACCTTCTTGGTCTTCACCGTAGAGGCACAGCAGTCCCCACCATCGTAGTTGCAGAAGGCTCGGTTGTTGATGGCATCACAGTAATTGTCTCCCATGAAGGGCTGCAAGGGGGGAGAGAGGCAGAAGGAAGGTGGCCCGTTAGCATCCTGGATTAGGTGGGGGATAGCCCTGTCATTGTTCAGCTCTCATCCTTTTGAAAACCCTTGTAGACCGCCTACCTGGCTTCAAATGCCAACACCCCCTTGGCCAAGTTATCACTTTTGCCATTTGTAAAGACTTACCTAGCCAACTTTCCCCCAACTCAGCTGCGGCTGCGCTGGTGGACACGCTTGTAGGCTAGGGTATGCAAAGCCATGGGAGAGATCACTTACATCTCTCTAAGGTCGGGCTCAGTTTTACTTGAAGAAATGATGAGAAAATCTGAGCAGACTTCCCCTACTTTTCCCACTAGTAGGTAATGAAAAACATAATTTATAGTACAATATAAACAACGTAATCTGCTCAAGAATTGTCAAGATCAAATGTAAGAACTCATCAGAATTTGACACAATGGTCTGTGGGCTCCCTCTTCTCTAGCACTGGAGTGGAGGTCCTTGAGGTCACATGCTTTACGTGTTTGTCATCTTCTTTGTTCTCCAAACAACATGTGAGGTAAGCACTGATATTCCCACTTTTCAGATGAAGATTCTGAAGCTCAGAGCGAGACAGGGACTGAGCCCAGATCAGCCTGGCAGGGCCAGAGCAGTGATTTAAATCTAAGTTGACGTCCTATCTTTTCTTTGCCATTCTGGTCCACACCTAGCACATACTGATGTGTTGCTTTTCTTCCCCATGTCTCTCCAACTCTGTGGTACCCCCAAAATGAGGAAAAGATGATAGAGTTAAGCCATTACTGATCTGAACCCAGAGTAATCTTATGGGAAAGTCAGGAGTGTCTGCAAACCCCCTAATACTTTTTGTCCCTATAAGCACTAAGCACACTGTTTGTTCTAATGTTTGTTTATGAACCTCCAGCTGGTAGAAGACTGTAAGCACGTGGAACACAAGGGCAATATCCAGTTCCTCTTGGTCTCCCTATCACCTAGTTTAATGCTGGTATAACTTTGGCTCTTAGTCATGTTTTTGAAATGGCATAGGGGCATATTGTATTGACATAGTGGAAAGGTAGTTGTGAGGGGGTTTAGAAAATCTGGGGTCTAGTCTAACAAACCTCAGCCAATTGGAGGGGTTCCTTGGTGATTTTGGTTAAGTGGCTTATCTTTTCTGAGCCTTGAGAGTCCCAGTTGTGAAATAAAGAGACAGGATTAGTCCATTGGTTGCTCAAAGCAATAAGCATACCCCCTCACCCACCAAAAGCAATAAAGTGTGACCCTTTAATATAGAAGGCAGGGAAGGTAAGAGGTCTCTGATCAAAGTTCACATTGGGCTCTCTAATACTCGGTGACTCACTGATGGGAAAGATGTCAACAGTTGGCTAGGACCACGGCATCTCATGCAACTCCTGCGATCCAGTGGTCTTTCTTTCCCATCCTGACTGTCATGGGGAGAACCAAGCTCACAAGGAGTCCCTCCCATGTGGCATCCCTGGCTTTTTCATCTCTGCCTCAAATTCACCCAGGCTTGTGCTCCCAACTCACGATGCCAGATTCCATTTCATCACTATCCTATTAGGGTCTAAAAAAAAAAAAATAGCAAGACAGAACCAAGAACAGGCAACAGCTGTGCTCAGGTGTCTATGTGCAAACGTGCATGGCTATGAACACAAGTGTGACTCTGACAGGTACTTGCCGTAACAAACACATTATTACAGCTATATCTGAGCAGTGAGGCACAAACAACAAACAAAGGATAAGCTCTTGGTTTTGCTCTGTGCCTGAGGAGATCGGCCTGTGGGACCTGTTCTTCATGATCTTTCTTCTATCATATAAAACACAGTAAGGAAGGAAACCAAATGTCCCTCAGAATGAACGGAACTGGCTTGGTAAAAGGAGTAGCTGGGAAAGACGAGGAAGAAGGGAAAAAAAATGAAACTTTTTTTCCCCCTGAAAAAAACCCTCCAGTCTCCTCACCAGCTACCCTTCACCCCTCTCCTGCAGCCACACCCTTGCCTCCATCCGCCCCTCTACCCATCCATCCTGTACTTAACCACATTCACTGAACGCTTACTACAGATCACATGTCGCACCGCAGACAAAGATAGGACAGTGAGATGGAGCTCGTACTCCTTCAGACCTCACGCTTCAGTGAGGAGACTTTAATCAAATAATCACACATCTAATTGGCCAATTTCAACTCTGATAAGAGCGACAGAGGACAGGCACCACGAGGCTGTTAAAGAGTAAGAGGACTAGACCTCATCAGGGAGCTCCGCGAAGGTGTCCCTTGGGAAATGACCTTTCAGCAGAGATCAGGGAGATGAGCAGGGGTTAATTAGCGGAGGGTGGAGAACAGAGGATTTCGAGAGGGAGCGAGTGACATGTGAAAAGCTCCGCCACTGAAGGGATTTTTCCCATCCCTGGTACTTCTCATGGCTACTGCTCCTACTACTGTGTTCGGGCGAGCAGCTCAGCCTTCGGGATCTAGCTCCAATCTCACACCCCTGAAATGCCTTCTCTGAGCCCCCCAGGATGCTCTGTGCTTCTTGTACTTGGTCTGGTTACAGCTCTTGGTCCATAGTTTAGAATTCTTTAATTGTCTACCTCCTTCACTAGACTGGGAGTTCCCGAGGGACAGGACTGCGTGTCGTCCATATCTGTAGCCTGGACTCCCTAGCAAAACACGTGGTGATTTGAGCAAAACTTCACCATTTATGTTCATTCAGTCAAATGATTCAGTTCTTCATGGACAGATATGTGGACGCATGCACAAGGGGCAAGAAAACACCACACGTCTGGACTCAGGAAGGAGGAGGAGCACAGCGACTGTTCTCACTTGACTAAGGTCACTGTGTTTCCAGAACCTTGAGTAGTGTCAGGTCCCTAAGAGGCATCAGTGAAGCTCTGATGTATGAGAGAGTGAAGGGACCACTTTGGACACAGCTTGGGGTAGAGGGCTCAGGAGTCCCAAAACCCTTCCTCAGTCCTGGCTAACTCTAGACATTCCAGGTTGATGGCTCCTGCCTCGACCCAGTGTTTGTATCTCTCCCAGGCATTCCTTTCAGCCCCAGACATGAGACAAACTATTAGCTTTAAGTTAAGGAGGAGAGGAGATCACCTGCAAGGGCAAAGGCGATAAGCATCGTTGGCAGGACTCAGAGCCTGACAGGTGAGGGTCTCCTAGGCCCCAGTGCTGAGTCAAAGAAGGTATCGAATTCTGCTGTCACACTGGCTGCCCAGACTGCCAACTCAGCAGAATGAGGACCCCGGTAATCCAAGCTTCCTTTTCTCCAAGTGTTGGACTGATCCAGAGAGATGGAAGGAAGCAATAGCCACAGGGCCTTGGCCTTGGTTTTGCCATTGCCGGCTGAACCTTGGGAGAATGTGGGGGCTCTTAAAGACTACAGTGTCGAGTGCCCTTAGAAGATGCCACATGGAGCCCCTAGCCAATACACAGAATGAAAAGTTTGATCCAGGGGCTGTCTTGTCAGGGGTGATTCATGGATGGGAGGTGGCCTAATGGAGGAGGAAAAGGACCAGCCTAGAGTCAGAAGACCCAGGTTCATGTTTTGGCCTTGTGGCTTTTATGGTGTACAATGCTGGGCCAGTCCATCGCCTCTCTGATCCTCCTTTTCCACTCCATATAACCATTGATTAGGATTAGATCGCACTAAGAACCCTTCCCGTTTGAGCATTCCATCAAATTTCAGATCTGGCTACACCTTTAAAAAGTCAGGTTTAGATCATCTGGAAGAGCATTTCTGACTCTGACATTCCAAGAATTTCATCAAATACGGAGTTTTCTAGAGTACAAACTAATCCCTTTCACCTGCATTTTCCTGAGTGGGCTCTGGAGCGGGGAGTGGACCACAAATATTTGCGCCTCCACCTGGATGTGATTGGGGGCCTCCTTTTCATTGCCAGATGAGAAGACCCACAAGGGACTTGGGGTGTACAGAGTATCTCCTAGTTCCAGAGGCAGTGTGACCCCTTGAGAATAGAGATGACTTTCTAAGTACTCTGCCCCTGTGCCTTCCCAGGCTGGTCACTGAGACACAGAGACAGATCTCCATAAAGCCAAGCGCCAGGGAAAGGTTCAACTGTGCAGTCAGAGAGGATCTTCCCCTTCAGCTCTGTGGTAGGGTCTAAGGTATCCATACTGCTTCTGGGGTTGAAGAATGAGTGAATGACAAATGTGTGGCAAAAGGAAGTGACCTGCAAGTAATGGTCAGCAATAAAGTAGGAACTGGAAAGGGGGAAAAAAAAAAGCCTCCTGTGGTTCCTTAAACATTACATCTTATCATTTGGGTCAAATGCCTGGTATGTTATAGATGCAAAATCAGGATGGCCTCCCTCCCTCCTTCCCAGAGGCTTATGTCCATGGTGAACATAAGCTGAGGGAGCAGGAACGCCTTGGAATCTTACTTTTGTTATCCATGAAATGTATTTTTGAGTATGTTTGTTGATATCTCCGTGCCTCAATTCCCCCATCTATAAAATGAGATTGCTCAATCAGCCTATTAAAGGGATATTCACAGCACTTTGTAGGCAAAGCGAATGGAAGCCATGATCAATGTAAGACCAGTGATCAGGATATTAACAATAGGAGGATCACTTCTAGGGACTCACCTCACAGCCTTTGACGCAGTGAATCAGGGCAGGGTGAGGATACCACTTGAGACCAGCTGTGCAGACAACTCTCTGCAGAGAGAGGGAGAGAGCAGTCAGATGGGTTTGGGGCTGGGAGGAAGCCATCTCCTAGTTGGCACCCCATGCAACCACCTCACATCTTCTTGGATCTTCCAAGTCCTGTCTTCACCCTGGCATTTACATGGATAATTTGCCCATGGATGATTGTACTTGCAGTAACAGGAGCCATAAGATTACAAAAGTATTTGTGTTTGCTGTAGGTATGAACCTGTATCTCCCTGGCAGGAATGAGGGCTGAAGAAAAGCAGAACTGAGGGATGAAGACGCGGTCAGAAAGGCCCTTCAGGAAATTCTTGGCTGATGTTTGATCCATGGGTGGAGTTAGGAACAAGGTAGGAAGGAGGAGGAAAGTCAGAGGATACATATGGCTGCGGCAGGGAGAAGGGAGAATAGTGTGGAGTGGGGTTTCCCTACACATGTGCTAAGGACCACGTTCATCGGGGTCCCTGTGAGAGCTCATGAGGAAGGCACATACTATACTTCAGAGCCACCTTATCTAATGCATCCAAATCTCTGAGGCCAGGGCCTGGGACTCCGCAGTACAAGCCTGCCAGATGACTCTGATACGAACTACAGTGTGAGAGCAGTGGCCTGGTTCAGAACCCTTGGAGACACAGAGAACCTTTCTTGCCTCCACCCGCCACCATACCTCTGTGACCTTGTCCTTCCTGTTCTTCTTCACTGAAATGCCCTTCCCCATCTTGTCTCCTGGAGAACATTTAGTTCTCTTTTGCTCGGCTGCTCATGACTTCCTTCCCCTGTGGTGCCTTCCCCAACCCCCCTCGGAGCATCTAGGTTTGCATGTATGTATTTATTTATAACCTCCTTTAATAATAATAATTGTTACTATGATAATGACAACCAAAATATATTGAGTTCATTTGTGGTGCTAACTTCTTTATGCATTATCTTATTTATTCCTCGTTACCATGCAGTGAGTTGGGCATGAATCTTGGGTCATATGGAGAATGAATACCCCAGGCTCCATAGCTGTTCACTGAAGAAACCAGGACTTGAGACCGAGCACTCGTTTTAGAAATTATTTAAGGAAGCTCATAACATAAAATCCAACATGAGGATAATTTTTAAAGGAGGCGAAAAGAGAAAGATGAAACTAGGAAGGTACATAGCATCAGGAATGGGGCTAACATGATGTTCCCAGAAGCTCCTTTCTCTATGTCTTACATTTCATGCCAAAATTATAATGATTTCTTTAAAAAATAAAATGAAAACAACCTGGAGGCAAATGCTTGGATCTGCAATGAGAGGTTAGTGTCAGGGACCAGCCGTAGAGGTTTATGTGATCAGGTCTTGCTCTCCTGGATGACTGCCAGCTGATTAATTTTCATTAAGAAATGAACAGTCATATGGGTCAGAATATGGAAAATCACATGACCAACACAGTTTCTCCCTGAAGGCAGACCTGTATGGGAACCCCACCATAATTAAGTTTCTTGGAGAGCTTGGAACAAAGGGAATCACGTGACTCCAAGAGCGGGCTAAGATGGGTTGGTGCCTTTCTTTTCTGCCACACAGCATCCGTGGTTCACCCTTGGATCATTCCACGCCTAGAATGGCGTCTGGCACATGGAGGATGCCTTACAAATGTTCTTGTTCTAAATGAATGGAGACATCTCAAAATAGAGATGATTTTTTACCAATGGGCAAGGTTTTCTTTACTTGTTTTCCTCTGTTCTAGAACATCAGATGAGCCCTTACCATGCCTAGCATAGTGTCTAGAAGACCGGTTTAGCATAGGCAGAATTAGAGTCTTAAACAAACAACCTAAGCTGAAGATCTACCACCCAGTCTTGCCATGGGAAGTCCACCAGGTAGACTACATCACTACTATGCCCTGCCCCTTTCTACCTTTTCCCAATACACCTAGACGAGGTGACATGCGGGAAAGACCTTGGGCATGGGCTGTGTTAGGTGTGGATGCAATTCGACTTGAAATTGCTTTGTAAATTTCCACTCTGAGGCTGGGTTCTCCTGTCTGTGAAATGGGTCCCGAAAATCACCTCATGGACTTGTCATGATGACCCACGGAGATAAATGGTACGGGACTGATTAACTGAGGACCTGGGTTTGACACAATTCTGTGTCTCCCCAGGACCCGGACTGGAGCAGAGCAAACAAGTACATGTTGACCACATGAAGGAGTGTGAGTGGTTTCCGGTGCTCCTTTCTTCCAGCTTAGCTACTCTCGTGCCCTCTGCTTCCCAGCTACAGGGCCACAGGTGGAGAGAATCACCTGATTTCATCCTCTGTGAGACCTGACCCAGGATTTCATCTCTGGGTCTGAGAGTCTGTCCCCAGCCAAAACCCAGGGTTGCTGAAGGGGGCCTTGGTAATGGCTCAAGTAATAGAACACAACAGGGTCGGGATCCACAAGGGAGTCGATGCCCATCCCTCCCCCTGTGTATCCGAGAGAGCTAATTTAATCCGCCTGTAGGAGTGTTGTGGTGTGGCTGTACAAGGTTCTGTCAGCTGAGGTTTACCTGACGTGAGTTCAGAGAAAGGACTTTTATACTATCCACATGAGCCTGTTTATCTTTCCAAGGCTTTTGGATTTTCCACTATTCCTTAGGGCTGCACGCCCTACCTGTCTCACTACAGGCCCCTCTGTATGTGAGCAGAACTGGAAGGGGACAAGCAGCGAGAGCTGAAGGGAAAGCTAGGCTGTTTACACCGCAGACTGGGAGATCCCCGGTGGGGGCCCTCCAATGTCAGCCTTGTTCCTTCGGGTGCCAGGGAGACCTCTAGCCCAGTGAGAGTGCTTTCAGCCCAGGTTTTGTAAGGCGGCTTTCGTTTCCTGCCGTGGTGCCTAAGAAGAATACATTGTCCTTTCTTCCTGGCTGCAGTGACCTTCAGCATCGCCACCATCATGTTCATCACCATCACAGCACCATTACCAACCCTGTCATCATTATCCTCATCTTCATCCGCACATGCCCGGTCCTCAGATCTTTATTTAATTCTTACCCCAACTACAGGAGAGGTACTATTTTTGAGCCTGGGCTACACGGGAGGAAATGGACCGCAGAGCATTGACCAACCTGCTCTAAGCCATACACATAGGCAAGGACCATCGGGAAGTAGGCCCGCAGTTCTCTGATTACCAGATCTGTATTTAAACCCTACGCTCTCCTTCACATTCCCCTAGCCCCCAAAACTATAAATATAAAATAGTTTACTCTTTGGCCTGACGGAAAGACCAAGGTTCAGGAAGGTGAAAGGGCTTTCAGAGGAAAGTAGGCAGGGGGCTGGGGGTGGGCAGAGTGTCTCCAAGATTCCAGGATGAATCCCAGGGAAGATGCGGTCCCAGGCAGAGTTTAAGACATGTGAGAAAGCATCATAAGAGAGCCTCCCCAACCTAAGGCTCAGATTGGACACCCCTTCAGATACCGTCTACGATGAGCCCTCTTTTCTCCTTAATTCTCCCCTTGATGTGTAGGGCTTTCGGTGAATGAATGCTATCATTTAACTTAAGTTTGCCATTCATTATCATGTACAGAGCTTCGGGCTTTCTTTAAAAGCCCAGGCACTCTTCAACCTGAATGCCTTGTGCTTGAAGAATGCCTACCGTTTAGAAGGACCTCATCAGTGTTTCTGAGTGAGTGAATGAACCAGTGACCAAATGAGTGAATGAGAGATCACTGGCTTCTGGACCCATCTCTCCGGCATGGGCTTCACCTGCAGGGCACACGCTGTCTCGCCTCTATACCTCGGATAGACTGGACTCCATGCTCACTCAGAACCCTTCTACCTCTGACTCCAGACCCTTGACAGGGCATTCCATGGGGCAGCCTTCCTTTCAGGGAATGAATTCTGCACCCTTTGTCTGCAAGTGTCGCATTATGATTTATAATATAGAAGGTGGTTACCTTGCAAGACGAAATGCAGGAGAATTAGCCCTGGGTTCAAATTCTGCTTCAGATGTATTAGCTACATGAACTGGGCAGTGAACACCCAGTGAGAACTTCAGCTTCTTCGTGTATAAAATAGTAATACTGTTGATCTCGCTGGAGTATGGTAGAGAAAAAGTGAGGTGGCATGTGGACCTGCCTATTGGCGCCCACATATCATAGGTACTCAGTAAATGGTGACTTCCTTTCCCCCCCCCTTAAGTACCTCCCTCCCTTCCTTCTTCTTCTCCTCTCTTTCCTCCCTCCTTCCATCCTCTTCCCAGAAGCCATTATAAAATCCAAGGTCCCAGATGCCTAGAGGAATCATAAGCCTCTGAGGCCGCACACTGCTTTTGCCGTGAACAAGTTGAGATACAGGGGAGACTGGGGTGCTCCCTTGGAGCTGGTGATAGAGAGGCTGCTACCCTGAATTCCAGATGCTGGGGCTAGGAGTCTGCCTCATTCAAAGGTTGCAAGCCAACAGCTTCCAGGTTACACAACCCACAGAAATGTTCAGTCTGGCACACAGTGTGCTTGACAGACGTCAAAATTATTTGCCAATATTTAAAAAAAAAATAGAGATTTTATATTTTAAAGACTCCAGATTTCTTATATTCAAGACAAAGTGGGGACTCTAGCCATACTAAGCACATATTTCCACACTGCCACATGTGGCTTGAGCTGCCCTCTTGGGAAGCAGGATGTGCTTCCCAGAGTTCACCACTGTCTCCACCTTTCCCTGCAGTCTCTCCAGCACGGAGCCCAAGAGATATTGCCATCTGTCACTGAATTTGTATCATATCCTTTATGAGATGTGAGGAAGATTTCTCCGTGTCCCTATTGCTCACAACAGTGCATGTGGGGTGATGGGGGTCGGGGGAGTGGGCACTTTCAAAGAAGAGAACTTTAAAAAAAACAAAGGGACAGAGTGTTTTTCTTTATGAAATTAAGCCTAAAAATTTTAGTACACCTGAAACTAATATAATTTTATATGTCAATTATACCTCAATAAAAAAAAATAAGCCAACCCAGTAGACATGATCTTGGGGGCACAACCATTGCCTGGCATGGGAAGGGAATGACCTCTGGGGAGCCAGAGATCCCAACCTGGGGAGTGGTTTCAGGAGTGGCCACAAACATAAACACTGATCAAACCTTACACGTAAGATCAGCATGAGCATTAAGTCTCAGTAAGAAGAAAATTTAGAGAGTCATTTCTTAAGTTGGGTGTTTGTATTATAACACGCACGGGTGTTTGTATTATATTTTAAGTGTCTGAAGTAAGTCTAGTAAATCCTGCTACTATTATTAATAATATGCCTAGGTGTGTGATATACAGAATGACACCCCAGGCCTGCTTCACCCACTTATCCCACCAGCCCGGTTCCCGTGGGTATCCGACTCTGGGACTCTTGATCCAGGCCTATCTCTCCTTCCACAGACAGGCAAACTGCGGCTTATAGCAGTGATAGGATTTGCCCAGGGATAGACAGCAAGAACACGCCTGAGCTTGAATGAGAACCTTGGTCACTTGACCCCGCAAGCCCTAAGTATCTGGCGAGCACCCACCGGGAGCTAGGCACGAAAGGGAGCACTGTGGTAAGAGGACCGCGGGCCTGCCTGTGCAAAAGTCACCATCGTGGTGCGCTCATCACGGCACGTGATTTCAGTGTCCATCTCCCACTCATCTAAGTAGGCGTTGTTCTCATTACATAGGCCGATGCGTGCAAAGTACTTAAAATAGAGGCTGCCGCGTGACATGTGCCACTGTGGGCTTTAGCCGCTCTCGTGGGCCCAGGAGAGGCAGCGGTGCCTGCCCCGTCCCAGCTGTGTGTGCAGTGAGGGCAACTTGGGAACCTGGACATCTGCCATGGGGGGAATATTGATACCACGGTAATTGGCAAATGCTACAAGTTAGAGTTCTAGATGGTGGCTGTTTTCTGGGGGTGGGTTCGGGAGGGGGTGCAGGGGGGCGCGCAGAGAGCCTGCGGTGAACTATCCCACAGCATGTTCCCTGGTAAGCGGTCAATGAACAGTTGGTTTTTATTATTATTGCCCTACGTCCAGCAGAAACTGCATAGGCAGCTGGGAACAGCTGCCCACCATGAGACTGCCCAAGGGCTCCCTTCACTTCCTCTCAGGCAAGGGTCTCCCCTCGCTGAGGTTCCACTTCCTCCCCTGTAAACCGGGGAGAGACTGAAACCCACTCACGGGGTGTGGGGTGTGTGTGTGCAGGAAGCATGACCCAGTGTCAGATTCACAGGTGGCATCCAGGAAATGTCAGCTCCGGCCTCGGACTTCCTTCCCCGGGGACAAAGGTAAGGGGAGCTGGAGCCCAGCCGACCCCCACCCCTGCGCCTTCCCACCCCTGCGCCTGGCCCCGGTGGGAGGCAGGCCTAAGAACACCGGACTCCCCCACCCCCGCCCGACCCCAGGCCTCTGCTCTGGCCTGGCCTGGCGGTGCCTGCTCTAGCCGCTCTGTTTCTGCCTAGCTCTCACCACCCAAGGGGGCAAGGGTGCAGCAGAGGCCAGCTTTTCTGCCTTATTCCTGGAAATCATCAATCTCTGCCCTTCACCCTCCTCCCTGTTTCCACCACATTTTTTTCCTCCTGGATAATGAGGCCTCCGGAGACCGGTGGAGGTCTGAACCTCGTTATGGCTCTCTCCGTAGGCCGGCATCAATAAAGGGTCGGCAGACCAGGGAACTGGGTGGGGGCTGGGACGGGCAGGCGGCGGGTGGGCAACTGGGGGAGGGGGGCTCGCGGGCTTTCCAATCCCTGGATTTATTTCACAGTGAATTATAACTGAACTCTTTAGTGCCCAGGGCTCACAGAGGGAAGGGCAGGAATGCACCCAGGGGGCAGAGAAAAGGCCTGAGTGGGAGCTGGGCCAGGGGAAACTGGTCTGAGTCCCAGGCGGAGAAGACCTCCGGTACTGGGGTATGAGGGAGGTCTCCTGTGTCTGCTCTGTGTAGGAGTGTGATTCCCCTGACTTCGGGTATATGGAAGCAGGGCAGGGGAGAGGGAGGGGAATGGAGCCGCGGCGTGGCACAGTCCTGGCTCTGCTTCCTGGGCGACCCTGGCCTAACCCCCTCCCTCGCCGCTCCTCAGTTTCTCTGCCTGTACAATAAGGGGCTTATATTATACTTGATCTCCAACTTCCTTGAGCTTCTGACATGGGGTCTGTGTGTGCCCCTGGGTGTGGACAGCATGCCAGCATTCGCCGGGGTTATTCAGTGAGAATCTGTGTGGGTCTCTGGGTTAGCAGTGGGGTAAGGCGCTCCAAAGGCAGAAAACAGACGAGGAGCAGGAGGTTGGAGAAAAAGCGCTGTCTAGGGAATGCACGGGAGAGTCAGGGGCAGACAGAGGGGAAAGAGTATGGGTGGGCGGGGTGTGGAACAAGGTGATTGGAGTCTTAAGAGAGGGGACAGAGGGGCGCCTGGGTGGCTCAGTGGGTTAAGCCGCTGCCTTCGGCTCAGGTCATGATCTCAGGGTCCTGGGATCGAGTCCCACATCGGGCTCTCTGCTCGACAGGGAGCCTGCTTCCCTCTCTCTCTCTCTCTCTCTCTGCCTGCCTCTCTGTCTACTTGTGATCTCTCTCTGTCAAATAAATAAATAAAATCTTAAAAAAAAAAAGAGAGAGAGGGGACAGAGACTCAGAGTGGAGACAGAAGCAGGCAACAGGGGCTCGAGTGGTAGATGGGGCAGAGAACAGTCGGGGAGAAGGAGGAAGGGGAGAGGAGGGAAGAAGAAGAATGCTGGGGTGCACAGGGGAGCGGGGTGGGTGTCCAAGGCCAGCTCCAGCGCCAGGGGCCAGTGCTGAGTAAGCCCTCGCGATCATGCCCTCAGCTCATTTGAGAAACAGTACACCTCGTATCGGGTTCTGCCTGGCTATCCGGAGTGAGATCTGCAGCAGGAGGGCAGACAGCGAGGCCCCCCACACCCCAGGCAGAAAGGCTGGCCAACAGAGACATCGCTGAACAGTGCCCTGCGTGCGCCCTGCTTCCCTCTTTCACTCTCTCCAGGTTGAGCCAGTGCCCAGAATGGGTACATGAGGCCCGGGGTCCACACTGTCCTTGAGGGCAAGAGTGGGGTTCTGCTTCACCTACAGGGTCATGGATGGACCAGGTGACATGTAGACCTGGGGGAGTGGCCAGCCCCCAGCTGGACCTGGGCAAGGACAGCAGATGCCGAGAGGCAGAGCCTACAAGGCCTCTGGACAGGGCCATGCCGGCGTTGACACTGCGGGAGGAGCACTGCCTTTGGACTCAGGCTTGAGCCTGAGCCTTCGCGCTGGGGCCCGTCGCTCACTCCTAAGACTTCCGTGTCCCCAAGCAGGGACTGCAGGCGATGCCCCTTGCTCCGTACAATAATTCTGGGGCTTAAATACTATCTTGTGTGTTGAGTGCTGGGCACGGGAACACAGTGGGTGCTTCCTAAGCAATGGGTGTTACGAGTTCCCCAGATCACTATTAGTTGCTTTCCATCAAACAAGTAAAGCAGGGAGAAGGATACCAGAAATCTAGGCCATAGCACGTGGAAGGCCTTCTAAGAGCTTGTCTGGAGAAGCCAGATTGCACTACACTCACAGATACAGGCCTGGTCAGACAGACAGGGGTTTGGGACCCAGTCAGACAGACAGGTTTTTCTGTGTGTTCTCGGTGCCTCGGTGCTCTCACCTCTAAACTGAGGACAACAGTCCTCTTATTCCTAGCCTGCCATCAGGATTCAGTGGGACAGTAAATAAAAGGTCCTTCGCATAGGAGGCCTGGTCAAGGAGAAGTGAGACATGCTGGAGGCCTGGAGAAATGATTGTGAACAGAGCCCCCCCCCCCCCCCCGCGAATAGGTGTTATGAGTCAGTGACTCATGACTCGCATCATGTGCAAAAGGACGAATTCAGGACCAGGGCATAGTAAGTGTCCAAGGGGGTCATTTCCCTCCCTGAGACACGAGGGTTGGCCCTGTCACTCACCTCTACCCGTGTGGGGTTCAGCCAGTGCGGGATGTCCCGTACGGTCACGTTCACTGGCAGGATGATGGACTCGCTGTTGTGGTCCAGGCACGAGGTGACACACTCCGACCCTGAGGGCAAGCACAGTGTGAGGCCACAGCTCAGCCCACAATCCCCTGATGCCCATGGGCTGCTCTCTCACAGTGTGGGCCCTCCTGCTCCTGGTCCCCTGTGGGCCAGGCCACCCTGGCCTTGAGGACAGTGGAAAGAAGCAAACTCCCAAAGGGGCAGCCTTTGGTCTCTCCGACTCTGTTCTGGTCTCTAGTCTAGGCTGCACCCATCACCATGTTCGTCGGCCATGAGCCCCTTTTGGTCACGCCCCTCCTCTGCTTGAGAACATTTCCAAGGTTCCCCGAAGGCAGGACAAAATGTAATCCCCTTTGCCCAGCATGCATGGGCTGCCATGGTCTAGTCGTCTAGTCAGTTTCATCTCCCATTAACCATCTTCACGCTTTGGGTGGTCCAGCCAGATTGCCATAGGTTTGCCACCTGAGTCCCACAACCCCTTTCCTCTATGTTTCTGCTCCCATTCACCCCTTCCCCAGAATCACCCCCATCTGCCTTCTCAAGGTCAAATCTTATCAGTTCTTCATGGCCCAGTTCACATCTTCCAAGAAGCCTGCCCTGATCTTTGCGCCTGAGTGAGAGCAGTGTTCAGCAACGATGAGTCTCTCGGTGCTGGCCTTATGTCCTCCCTGTGCCTGCCTTCCCACGGTTACAGGGATGCCCCAGATGGACAGGGATGAGGGGGACTCATTTGTGAGCCTGGCCCGGTGCCTGACACGCAGGGACGGTGCAGGAAGCATCAGCCCCCCCAGCCCCTCACTTCCTGCTTACGCGGTGCCTCCACACATGCCTCCCCGGTGCTTTTAGGCCCTTCCTACTCTTCTTCAACTAAGGCACTTTAATCATCCCTCAGACCTCCAGCCAAGCCCTGCCAAGTGCCTGCTCCGTGGAGCCCTCCCTGCTTTCCTGATAGACCAGGCCCTCTCACAGGCACTAGCCCCTTCCCACAGGGCTGGGGGATGGTTGTATCGATGGCTCTCTTCCCTGCCAGACTGTAAACTCCTGAAGCCAGCCCTCTCTGTGCTCCCCGTTCTCCACCCAGAGCCTGGCACCATGCAGGGCAGCAAGCATCTGTGAAACGAGTGGGAGAGACAGGGAGCGAGCGAATGCATCTATGGACAAGGGACCGAGGGGTGGGTGAATGTGCAGGAGGACATGCGTACCCCAACGGGGGAGTGAATGAATACAAGACTGCGTCTTGGATAAAGAAATGAAAGAACGAAGGCATTGATGATAAGCGGGGACAGGCGGGTACACAGCAGCGCTTGATGAGGCACGGCGAGCTTTAAGCTGTGGGCCGGCAAGTCGACTGTAATTTGGTGCATTCATTCTCCACCCTGCTCTCACATACTGTGAAGTCTCCTGAGAATCAAGCCTATCTCATGAGGTATCCCCAGGACTCTCAAGCCATGCTCATTCCTGTGGGCAAAGGCGGATGTGGCAGAATCTGACCAAGGCCCTAAGGAGGCCGTTCCCTTGTCTTAATGCCAGGACCACCCCTGAACACGAAGTGAGTCCCAAGAGACAGCCAACTTGATTCCAGTAGCCATTCAAAGGCTCCCTTCCAGGCGCACGCATGCGTGCGTGTGTGTGTGTGTGATGTCTGTGTGTATCCACCGCCCCCCCACACACACTGTCTACGAGGGCTCTGCTTATGGCCATCTTGGTCTCTGAGAGACTCACCAGGACTGAAGAGGGGACGAGGGTGGAGTGGCAGGCCTAGGACAGTGTTTAAAACCTCTTCACTTTAAACACAGGGCCCCCGAGCCCAGAAGGTGGGGGCCAGACCCCTGGCCCTGCAGGTGGTTTTCCTATGTCACTCATTCTCCCGAATACCCTGCGCTGTGTGACAGTTGTCATCACACCCATGTCTCAGGTTAGAGATGTGCACGGAGCTCAGGCTACAAAGCAGGCGACTAGGGCCCCATGAATTAAAACCCACGTCCCTCTGCCTTCTGAGCCCGGCAGTGGATACAGGGGAGCGCAACAAAGGAAAGGGAAAGGAAGACAGAGGAAGGAAAAGAAATGAGGCGGCAGGGGTGGGGACGACTGCAAAAAAACCAAAAAGATGAGAGATGGGAATAAGGCGGGGGGAGTCACGAAGCAGCTGGAGAAAGTCAGTGCGGCGTGTTTATCATGAGATCAGTTCTAAAGGAGTATTTAGGGAGCGAGGTAGAAACAAGGCTGTGATGATAAAATCCTCTTTTGCAAAAGCAGGAGGTAGCCTGTGAGGAAAAACCAAAGGCTCTCTTCTCCCAGGAGAGGAACAAAGGGGAAAATATGGTCAACGCAGGAGGCCATCCCTGGTCTGCTCAGCAGCAGTCCCGTCCCCGCTTCCCCTTCCCTGCAGCTCCCTCCCCTGCACTCCCCCACCCACACACACACAGGGCTGGGGCTTTAGGACCAGGCTGCCCTGTTGTGATATATGAGCAGGAACTGGCATCATTACAGAGGGTGATCTCACCGGGCCCTGCCTCTCCTTCCCTGGGAGAAGGAGGGAGGGTGGCAGCCCCGGGGGTGGGGAGGGGGCAGTAGCAACTTTCTGAGTGCTCTTAGTTGCCACAGAAGCTGGCCTGTGCTGCCCGGGGAAGGAGCCCACAGGGGACTGCTTGGGCGGCTCCAGAATGTGTCCTCCAGCCCCTGAGCCCACATGAAGGGACTTCACCCCAATTATAAGGCCTTGGAGCAAATCCCCTCCTTGGTGAGGGGGGCTGTGCACAGGGAAGGGCTCAGCCTGGGCTTCTGATCTGGGGGTCTTTGGAGGTGACGAAGGGGAGGGACCTGGAGGTCAGGAGGGAAACCTGTTTCCCCTCCTTCCCTCCCAGCGTCCCACAATGCCTTTTCCCTCTCAGCAACCACCTTTGCCCCCTTCCCCAATGGCCCACCATCATGCATGGATCGCCATATTCATAAGAGGGACATCTGTCTGGGAATGGGACATGGGCACAGGGAAGGGAAGGACATCGAGGCTCCTGTGTCGTACTGGCTTCTTTCCCTTTCTGCTTGACTGCGAGAAAGCTCGGTGGGCAAAGGGATGCTATGGCCATACGTGTGCCTCTGTCTCGCTGGGCGAACGGAGAGCAGGGCCTTGGGCGGCGAGACTGTGAGGGCGGCTACGCACCTGGGGGCCCCATAGTGTATCTGGGCACCTTCCTGTCTATGTAACATGTTTCAGGGCCTCAGATGCATCTGTGCTTGTGACGTGTGTGACTCTATGTCACATGTGTGTGTGTGTGTGTGTGTGTGTGTGTGTGTGTGTTAGGTGATGTGTTTGGCTGATGTGTACGTGCGAGGCATGAGTTTATGCTGCGTGTATTTGGGTCTGTTTGGTTATTAAACATTTGTGCTTGTGTTTATTTTTGCATGTGTGAATATATTTGAGTGTATCCGTGGAGGTAGACAGGCAGGAATTCTGTTTCTAAAAGTTTTTTCTTTTAAATAGAAGTCACTTAATCAAAATTTTCCCTCCCAGGAACACTTAATACCAGTCATGAGTATAACTGAAAATTCACTTGTGTATCCTGGTTGAGTTGGGGGCAGGGACCCTATCACAGACGTAAGCGTCTAGAACCACCTGTCAGGAATGATGGCAGAAGAAAGCGCTGGCTTTGGGATAGAGCAGCCAGTGTTACTGACCATTGCTACACCTGTTGCCCCAAACTTCTAGAATGCCTATGTTAGCAGATCACACAAGATACCCCCTCTCTGCAAACACCCTGGCTAGGGCCCTTCAGATGGTGGCTCTATAGGAACCTGAAGTCCCTTCTGAATCATCAGAGAGAGCAACCTTGCACTTGGAGGTTTTTCTCACCCACACGGGAGCTGGTGCTCTGGGCTTAACGCAGGAGCACTGATTCCTAGTCTGCTTTTAGGTGAAGAACGCACGTGCGCTCTCAGGCTCTACGTTTCTGTCTTTGAAAGGAGGTGGTCAGGAGCCCCACGCACCTCCCCTCCCCAAACACAGGCCTTGCTTCTGGAAAAGAAGTGACAGCTCCCATTTTGCTGGATGCAGAACTTGTTGGCTCCGTGTGACTGGGAGTGAGTGCGTGCGTGATAACCTCCTGCTCCAGACATCCCTGGTGATTATCCCATAAATCACGCCAGCCATGAGAAAAAAGATCCAATTCCCTGGGCTTTTCATCATGGTCAATTAGGGAATCAGCCTAAGAGGTCAGCAGCACTGCCCTCCACTGAGGTCAGACTCAATGCACGCCCAGTTCCCCCAGAAAGCCTCGGAGCCTGTGATTAATGCCTCTGTCCAGATGCTGGTTTCAACCAAGCAAATCCCTGGCATCAAACCCCAGGTTGTCTCCCCTTACTGTGAGCTAGCCTATCGCCACACAAATAGCATTCCCAAGATATTCTTTATCCTCCCAGTGGGAGGCCACTGAGATGCCAGGGGAAGAACTGGGACTCCAGAATAAGAGAGCTGTCTGGCTTCGGGGAGGCTCTGTTATCCCTTCACATGCCCATCTCCTCATCTGTCATAGGTCGTTGAGCAGATATGAGAAGGCGCCTCTCAAGGGCTGGCTGCAGGACCTAGCCCACTGTAGGTACTCATGAAGGATTAGTACGACGCTCAATTTAAGATTAACCGGGGACCACCACTGCTTTCTGACACAGGGTGTGTGTGCTTCTCCAGCTCCTCCCCTCCACGCTGCATGGTTCCTTGTCCAGAAGCCCATCTCCTGCCCAACAAGCTCTTTCCAATCTCTATAGAAGCGTCCCTTCCCCTAGGAGCCTTCTGGGTCCCCCGAAACAGCGGTCAGCTCTTCTGTGCTCCAGTGGGACTCTCCACACTCCCCGACTGTTCTTCTCCAACAAGTGTACCCTCAAGTCTCTTTCTGGGAGCACAGGACCTAGTCTCCTTCATCTCTGTCTTCCTCCTACAGGGCATCAGGAGTGTGCCTAGTCACCCAGCGAAACACTGGCCCCAGGCTAGAGAAGGACCTGTGCCTCCCCGCCACCCTCACGCGCCCACCGTACCTATGGCATAGCCTTCCGGGCACTGCAGTTTGAGGTTGCCGTTGAGCTGGTCCGGGGCCGAGCACTGGCCTTGCATCTCCTGGCAGATGTGGAAGGAGCCACTCCAGGTGCCATCTTTCCGGCAGTGGATGATGTTGTTCCCATGTCCCTGAGCAGCACAGACCACAGAAGAACAGTCAGCATGACCCGGAGGGACTGCCACCCTCACCGTAATCAGGCCCTCAGAGTAACAGAGGAAACCATTCCTCATTTCCCCAGAGCCCTGGAAGTGTTAGGTAGAAACCTAATCACCCAAAAATAGAGGCACTGTTAACATTTCTGCTTGACAGATGGGGAAACTGAGGACTCAAGGCAAGAAGAAACGTGCTCAGAGCTCTCCAGGGAGCCTAACCCCCATGTTTCCTGAACCCTAGCTTCGAGCTCTTTCAGAGATTTCAGTCAGAGGGATTTCTGTGTTGATTTTTTTTTTTTTTTAACTGAGATGGTAGATGACCAAACACACCCAAACACACCCCAGCTCATACAGTAGGTAAGAACATGGGTTTTGGAGCTGGCTCGGTGCCCCCCCTCAACCAGTTTTTTAGAACAGGCATTACACAGTTTCTCCATCTTCCGCAAGACAGTAGGCACATGCAACCTGCAGGCTCGGTCCTCGCTCTGAGCCTACTTCCGGAGTCTGGCTTTCTAATGGGAGGTCTCACTCTGCAGATACTTTAGAACTGCCCCTAAATCCAAGGACCATTCCTTGGTGCCCAGTCTGTGCCCGGCTCTGTAGGGTTCAAAAGTCAAGTGAGCTGTATCAGGTGTCAAGTATGGGCCCCCGTGAGAAAGACAGTCACGTGAGCAGCCAGCCACGTCAAGGCACGGTGATCAGTGCTGTGCTGGGAGGTCACGGGGAGAGTAATGGGTTGTTAGGGCAAGCAGGGAGGCCCTGTAGAGGAGGTGATAAATGGAAAAAGAGTTTTCAAGGACTCATAGAGTCACAGGTGGAACAGGGATAGAAAGACCTTTCTGGAAGGCCAAAGGGCATGGGCAAATGCAAGGAAGTATAGTGAGCAGAGAGAGCTTCCCAGGGGCTCTCGGCTTGTGAACCAAGGGAGGAGGAGCTGGTAGGGCAGACGCAAGGTGGGGCCTTCACTGTCAGCTTATGGAGTTTGGACTCAAGCCCCTGACAATGGAGAACCCTGGACGGTATCCGGACGTGGGCCCCTCCACTGCAGAACAAGCTGCATATTCTCTCCTTCTTTCAAGCTTTTGATAAGCAGAGAAACTCTATAGGAGTCACTGACTGTGCTCCACTAGTATGAATATCTATGCCTTGGCTCCCATGCCCCGCAGCTTCCATCCAAAGTCCCATGGCTGGCCTCCAGAGCCCGCAGGGCCTGAACTCTGGCTCCCTCTCCATGGCTTTGCTCCCTACCGCACCACCACCAACCTTGAACGTCGGCTTAAACCACCTACACTCTCAAATGCACCCTAGGTGCTCACCTGCCGCCATGCTTCCGCACACCCACTCCTCGTGGCTGCTGGGTTCCCTCCCGGCCCAGACCCCCTGTCTGGCCCAGAGGACCCCGTTCTAGTCCTGCTCTAACCGCAGGGCGCACCCGTCAGGTGCCTCTCTGTTTCCCATCCATTCCCACCTAGAGGACGAACTGCTCAAGGCCCCAGACAGTGCCCCCTTCGTCCCCACATCCTCAGGGCCACAGCACATGACAGGTCCTGACCCCTCGGCCCACTCACTCATCACTCGGTATGTGTTTGTGTTCCCTCAAGAACCACTTGACAGAAGACGGGGTGAGCAGGCAGGGAGTCATGGAAGGAGTCTGCTCAGTAAGCGAGAGCAGAAACAAACGTGTGGGTGAGGGGACACACGCGTGAGTGAGCAGAGGATGACACGGGGGGACAAGGGACTAGGAGAACCAGTGCACGCAGGAGGAAGTGAATCAGCCCGCCGACAGGGCTGATGAGGCGGAAGCTGCCCTGTCTGAGAAAACAGCTGCAAGGAGACAGGGTTCCGAAGGGAAAGGGGGGCCCTCTTCGGGCCTCTCGTGTGCCTGTCCGTCTGCGGCGGGAGCCTTGGTGGCGCAGGACAAGGGTGGTCCATCCCGAGTGGGAAGCTGTGGGACATCTTACACAGTCCTCCCCGGGAAGTTGCGAGAGCTCAGGGTGAGTTCAGGCCACTTCATGTGGCTTCAGAGAAGCGACTCTCCCTCCTGGAGCCCCAGGCCCCAGGCCCCATGATTCTGCTGGGCCCTCGGGGGAATAGGAAATTGACCCCAATTTCCTGGAGCCTTGGCCTGGGCCTATGATGCATTTGGCCTCCAGCCCCTGAAGGGTTGCAGACCTCAGCACTACGTGGGCCAGAGTTGGCTGGGGACCTCGGTTTGCAGCAGAGAACGTATTAGAACTAGCTGGAATCTGCTCAGGGAATTTCGCCATAGACAAATCCACTGTAGAAGGCTCCACCGGAGAAGAGGGGAGTACAGGGCCTGGTCTTGCTGCCTCCAGCCTCTCTCCTTTCTGCCCAGCTCATCAGGTACTCTTGGCTGCTGATTAAATCTGCTTTAAACAAGTACGCCACCCTTCTGCTAAGACACCGTCACCTTCTGAACAAGTCACACCCGTGGCCTGGCCCACCTGGGCCTCCACGGTGGAGCCCAGATGACAAGTCTAGCCCCATCTCTTGCCACGCACCTGTCCTTCCTCCTAGTCTCTCGGTTAGCTCGTCTCTCCTGCACATTTCTCTTGCTTTCCAGCTCCGCACCTTTGCCCTCGCTGTGCCCTCTGCACAGCAGACTTTCCAGAGCCTGTCTGGATTTCTGAATTCCCCTTTAAGACTAGATCTTGGTGCATTCGGGGCTTACCTACTAGCTAGTACAGAGCCTCAGAATTAACCCTTGATGTTAATCTAGGGTGACCACGAAGACCTGATGTTGAGGATGCCATCCGAGAGAAGCCAAGAGCACTGGGCAAGGAGCCCGCTGGGCACACGTGGCTTTGAACGCACAGTTCTGCATGTTAAGGCGAAATCTCGCGCCAGAGGGCTGAGCATCCCTCACCAGAATATTCTGCCTCTCTGTGCCTGGGAGTCCGTCTGTAAAAAAGCATGTGCACTCTCTCAAACTCTCTTTAGTCACACAGATCCACAGAGTGCTAACGGCATACAATAATCCCATTATCAAATACCCATTATGTGCCAACTGTTTTACAGGCATTTAAAACCCCTTTGATTAACACAATAGAGTAGAAATCATACCCTTGTGGCAGACTGAGAAACTGAGGCTCGGCTGGGAAGTAAACAAGTGAGTTTTTTAAACGATGCCAGTGTAGGGGCGCCTGGGTGGCTCAATGGGTTAAGCCTCTGCCTTCGGCTCAGGTCATGATCCCAGGGTCCTGGGATCGAGCCCCACATCGGGCTCTCTGCTCAGCGGAGAGCCTGCTTCCCCCTCTCTCTCTCTGCCTGCCTCTGCCTACTTGTGATCTCTCTCTGTGTCAAATAAATAAATAAAATCTTTAAAAAAAAAAAAAAAGATGCCACTGTAATAGGAGCATAGACTCGAGCCAAACTACACAGGTTCAAATCCTGGTCTTGCAACTTCCTAGCTGTGAGTACCTGGGGAGGCTTCTCAGCTTCTCTGTGTTCCTTAATTTCCTCACCCGATTAAATGGGCATGGGGTGCACTGCCTGCAGAGTCGGCACGAGGACCGAATAAGTAAGTAAGAGCTCAACACACACGAGGGCTCTCCCAGTGTCAGTGGAGGTGCTAGGCCACTCTGTGCCTGCGTCTCTAGAATACACTCAAGGAACACCCACATTTTAGAAATGGCAGCAGCTGGCATGGGAAGGCAGCATGACCTCGACAGGGGGAGGGCCAATGCTAGAGGCGTGTCTCCTGACCTTAAGCCTCCGTGCCTCTACTACACTGGAGGGGAGAGGTGGGGAGAGGGAGAATTAGATTTCTTCTCCTTAGCAGAAATGGAAATAGACAAAATAATGGCAGAGAGACCGTGGCAGCCTCAGAGCGGGACATAAAGGGCTAAGCTTTGGACGCGGGCTAACGGGGGAACAGGAATCTCAGGTCCCCCACCCCCGGCTACATAGCGTGGGGCGAACCACCTTAACTCAGGGAACCTCAGCTTCCACCTCTACGGAATGGGGCAGTAATGCCAGACGGATGCTGTGGGGCTGAAATAAAGTGGTCTGTGCAGAGCACTCAGCCCAGGCACTGGCCAGTAGAAAATGCTCATTAAGTCGCTGCTGCTATTAATTACTTAATTCCCAGCAGTGCCCTTTATGCACTTTGCATCTTCCAAGTAAGATATGAAGTGACATATAACCTTCATGTATGTGGAAGGAATGGCTGAAAATTGGGAGTGGGCAATGACTTGGTTAGGAGATCAGAGATGTGGAGATCTGACTGACTCTGCTGGTGCCTTGCTGTGTGACTTGGGGTGAGTCTCTTCCCCTCTCTGGGCTCCAGAAGTCCCATCTATAAAACAAGTGGGAGGCAGTGGGGGATCTCCTCGGTCAAGCCCACCTCCTGTCAAGTTTCTAACTGGCTCTAGCCTTTGACAATGCTGCAACCGGAAGTCACCCCTACCTGGAGAGGCGTCGTGCGTGTGAGGACTCCCTGTATCCGCAGCAGAGCCCCTAAAGGCATGAGCCAGATGCACGCCACGGGCAGAAAGGCTTTTTCGTTTCAGAAGGGCTTTTATGGCCACCCGTGCAATCCGTGCACTCACCTGGGTGCATTACTGACTCCGCTCCCACCCTTTCTGTCTTACTCTGGCTGAGCGGCTGAAATCCCCAGCCGTTAAGAGCATTACTTCATCCACAAGCACCTTTAGTCTCTTCCTCTGCTGCAGTCCCCATGTGTGCATCCCCCACAGACTCCATCCCAATCACAAGATGGCTGTTCCCGTATCACCTACAAATACCACCTGCCCCTGTGCTTCTCGAATAGAACTGGGCCTGAGTTACTGCCTCAGACAGCTCAGGAGCATCTGAGCTGGATTAAATGTTGGGGCAACTGGCACTTCTCCCTGGCTATCTGGAGACAGAGTTCCTGCCCTTTGCCACTAGCCTGCCCTGGAAGTGTTCAGCGGGGAGGAAAAGCAAAGCTGTGGTGCCCATCAGCGCCACCCGCTCGTTGGCTCCAAGACTTCTTCCCTCATTCGGAAAAGGGGATGTTGGTTTCTTTTTCAAATGTCTGCTGGGAATTGTCAAAATGAGAGAAAGTCCGGCTCACCCGCCTGGAATCCCGGAAACACTTTAAAAGTAAAGAAGCTATTATTACCCAGGTTCTCTGTGTCTTGGTTTACAGAAATACTAACACTATAAATTCAAGAGCCAAACTGGCCAGTATGGTAGCGACCATATTAGTGTGGCTGTTTGCATTTAGATTTGAACTGTTTAAAATTAAATAAAGGGTTAAAACCTTGTTGCTCGGTTGCTCCAGCCATGGTTCAAGTATGCCCTAAGCCAGATGTGGCCAGTGGCCACCATACTGCAAAGCACAGATCGGGACAATTTTCCTCCCAGCAGAAAGTTCTACTGTGCATTGCTAGTCTAGAGAGTACCTGTATTGTACAGGTTTCCTTGAGCAATAAATCAGGTTTCCCTATGGTTCAGATCGGGTCTCTCCATCCCACACTGTGGCTTCAATCATGACAGATGCCTACTTTTCTAACTTTCTGGGGCTACCCACCAACAGAGGGATAACCTTCAAGCCATTGCCTTTATTTCTATAGGAGCCTATGTGGAGGATCAGGGATTCTCTCCACTAGAAGTGACCTTATAGGAAAGCTAGTTCACCTGTGTCTTTCTTCCCCAGGGCTGCCATGCATGGTGGCACAGGTTGTATACTGCACAATTTCAGGGGTTTCTCATAGGCATACTCCTATCTATACTTTCATTACCTTATTTAATCCTGACAAACCATGAGGCAGGAAGTAGTATATCCCCCACCATGAGAAAACTGAAACTTGAAGGGTTAAACAACTTGCCCAAGTCCTCCCACTGGTAAGTGGTGAAGTCACTATTTGAACTCAGAGTCCAGATCCAGCATCGTTCTGGCTCCCAAGGAACAAATGAACTGGAGGTTTCATTCGTCAATTTGCTTTTAGAGGCAGTGGGAGGGAGTACATGAACTTCCCCTAGACTAGTCCCTGTCCTCTTTTGCCAGGATCTGGAACTTGTTTGGAAAGCAAAGAATTCCAGCTCCATACAAGCTGTTTAATTCAAGATGCTCTGGGCCGTACATTTCTGCTGTGTTTACAGGCAGCGAGAGGGGATCTGAGGTGAATACTAGATTTGGCTCTCAGGCCCCTGGTCTGAGGGTAGAAGAAATTCATTTTCGGTACAAACTAGAAACGTCAATTGTATTAGGAGCCCATTTGGCACGCGTCCCCTCATTCTTTGAGCCGACAAGCAATACCCCGCTCCTTTGCATCTAGCCTCTCCGCCAGTTGCCAAACAGAACTGCTTGAGTTGTCTGATAAATTTACATTTTCCTCTCCTTTAAATACAAACTGGCCATGAAAGGTACTTGGCAGGCCCCAGGCAGACTGGGTTTCGTTTGATAACATGACCGCGGCCAGAATAGTATTTGGCTCAGCAGTTTGGGTAACTGTTAGCAACAGTTTTATGTAAGGGAGGAAGAGGGAAGCCGAGCAGCCTGCGTGAGGCCATGGTAACCTCCGGCCTCTGCTTGTCCCGACACCGGCTTCTGCTTCCCTGGCAGGCAAGGATGGCAATGACCTGGGGATGCAGACATCTAAGAGTGTGCATGGCGAAGGATTTTCAGGGGGTGTCTGTTGGATTCAGTCCGTCCACAGCTGGGAGCATCCGGATTCTGACTCAGGAGACACCAGCTGTGTCACCTTGGGTGGTTGAGTGACTTCTCTGAGTATGAGTTTTTCTCATTTAGAAAATGAGGTTGTTTTGGATATTCCCCATGGCTCTCATGGCTTGACGTTCCCTGAGCACCTACTGGGTGTCTGGCACTGTCCCAAGTGCTGAAAACTCAGGGCAGATGAAAGAGGTGGTCAAGCACTTCACAGCCTGAGGAAGGGAGCACCTGAAATGAGTTACAGGGCAGTGTGGCCCGTGCTAGGGTGTGGGGGACTTCAGGAAAGGGCACTGAGCCCAACCATAGAAGGGACATCAAGAAAGAGTTCATGAAAATGATGGCTGCCAGAGGGGAGGGAGGATGGGCAACACAGGTGCAGGGGAGTTGGAGGTACAGGCTCCCAGTTATGGAGCGAACAAGCCACAAAGATGAAAGGTGCAGCACGGGGACAATAGTGTACAGTAGTGTGACAGCACTGCATGGTGACAGATGGTAGCAACACGGGTGGTGGGCACAGGATGACATATAGACAGACTTGTCTGATCACTGTGTTGTACACCTACAACGAATCATGTTTCAACCATCTTTCAATAAAAAAGGGGGTTCCTGGAGGAATGGGTGCCCAGGCTGGTCTGGGAAGGAAGACGAGGACCGAGGCAGCTACAAAAGGGGGAAGAGCTCTTTCATTGACAATGCAGAGGTGAGAAGGTGTGCAATCGCACGGGAGGCCTGGGATCCACCCCAAGAAGTTGGCAGTTTGTCCCCTGGGGGACAGGGGTCACTGGTTCATGAGGAGCTTTAAGCAGGAGAATTGTGATAAGATGTGTGCTCTGAACACATGGCTTGGGCTGAAACGCAGAGAGTCCACTGGACGCTTAACCGACTGAGCCACCCAAGCAAGAGCAGGGAGGTGATCGGAAGACTGCACGCAGCTCAGTAAAGAGATGACGGTGACCTGAGTTACTGTGGCAGTACCAGGGACAGATGAGAACAGCTCTAGGAGACATCCTGGAGGCATAATGAGTAGAACTTGACCATTGTTTGCATGTGAGGAGCAGGTGGAGGGGGCTTAAGGGTGGCGGTTTGGCAGGGCTAATAAAGACAGTTGAGGCCCAGCTGCAGGTGAAGCCAGCCCTGGGTCCCACACAGCTGAACCCCAGCCCCACCTGGATGAAGGTCCTTGCATACCCCTGAAATATAGGGCTCAGCCTATCAACCCCAAATGGCTGGTTTATCACCGTGGAACCACTGGTGGATTTATCATTTCCCTTTTCCGTTCTAGATACCCTACCTCTCTTAGAAGGAGTAAGAGAACTTTAGTCATGGATTCCTTCAGCAGGAATGGGTGGGAGTGCCAGACTTCCTCTCAGATGCCAGGGGATGGAGATAAGATCCAAACCCTGCTATCTCCTTCTGGTCTCCCATACTTTCCTACTGTTCTCCAGACTCTATCCTTCTAATCACAATGTGGTTCCTCTTCTCTTCATGCTGGCAGAGCCAACTGATGTCTTGAGGACATGGTGACCTTGCATTTTTAAACACTGCAGGGACAACTGCAGCTGATGATGGTGGGGAGTTGGCTAAACCACCCTGGTCACTCCTATCACAGTAACTCAACTGTGGTCAGTTTCCTACCATGGGATTCCATATACGCTTTCCTTCATAAGGGTTCTAACACTAACCATTTCGCAAAGCTAAGAATCTCTGAATCAAAATAGGGTATTTAGGGAGGAAAACAAAGCTCAGGAAGATTCCCAAAGAAGGTTATCAGAACCCAGTTTCTTAGCTTCTGCACTGGTGCAACTGGCTGTCATATCTGCAGAGAGTCTCCTGAAGGATATTATTCTTCAATAAGCAGACAGGAGAGGGCCCAAGCACTGACCTCAAGTTCAAGGAGTCTTACCTGGGCAGCATCGCCGTCTTCGCACTTGATTCGACACTCGCTGTTGAACTGGAAGCCATTGGTGCACTGGTAGAGCCCATGGAATTTTGGCGGAGGTGGGTCACAGGTCACAGGAACGCAAGCTCCCTCCTGCCAGCTGCCATCTTGGGTACACTGAGTCTTGAAGGCCCGTCTTCAAAGAAGAGATCAAAGAAGAGATGTCTTAAGGATTAGATGGCTAGACTCACACCCTATGCAAACACCCAAAGTTTTCTTGAGCCAGCTGGCCTCTCATTTCTCTTTCCCACTCCTGATCCCCTACCTGCCCTATCTGTTGGTAAGGGCCATGCATAGAGATTAAAGAAAACTCATTGACTTGAGGCAAGCAAGAGTTTCAGACATTCTCTCAGTTCCATGCGGACTGAAATAAACTCAACTCCGGCAAACTCTTGTCTTTTCCCTTCCTTGTAGAGTGTTCTGATGGCAGCTACTACAACAATGATAATCATACCTACCATTTATTGAACAATTACTATGTGCCAGGCACTTTGCAAACACTTTATAGACACACCGTCATTTGTTCTTTACAATAATACTATACAGTAACTGGTATCATCATCCCCACCTTATCGTTGAAACGTAGAGGCCCAGAGAAGTAAAGTCACTTGCCTGAGGTCACACAGCCAGTAGGCAGTTACTAACAATGTCCCTATAGACTCTTACAGGGCAGCATGCAATGAACAGTGGGTATTGCCTCTAGCAAAAAAAAAAAAAAAGAAAGAAAGAAAGAAAGAAAAGGAAAGAGTGCTTCCTTATAATCAGACATCCAGACCTGGCTCTCCTGGCCAGCAGAACCTGTGAGAGTGCATTTCCAGCCCAACTTACTTCTTTGACTTCCGAGAGGAGCCAGGCACGTGATATCCAGGTTTGCACTTGTACTTGCAGAAAGAGCCCACCTTGTGCTTGTTCTCACGGCACCGGGCCGTCTGGAGGTCGGCGTTGGGAACCGGGGGCGGAGCTAGGCACATGAGCTCACACAGGGCCTCCGGGAAGGACCACAGGCCATCCTCCATACAGGTCAGGAGGCTGTTGTTGCCTGGAGGACACAGGCAAGCAGGGTTAGCCGATGGGGCAGGGGGGACAGCCAAGCTAACTTATGGGCTGCCGAAGCTTCACTAAACTGGAAAAGCCAGAGGGTCTTGCTCTTGAAATTCCAGCCCCTTCAGATTACAACTGAGGGCCTCCAGGAGATGGAGGGCTTTGTGACATAGAGAAGATCCAGCTTGGGGAGTAACTCACCCCACACAGGCAGTAAACTAAAATTCCAGGATCCCAACTCCCAATCTAGAACCTCTTCTACTGCATAGGAAAGAGACCTTCATGCTCCTTCCATCCATCCTCCTGGCTCTGCTAGGTGGGGGCCCGAGCCCGGAGGGGAAAGTACATACACCGTCTAGTAACTGACGAAGCAGGCGCCCATCAGAATCGACTGGGAGTTCTGACAGCAGGGTGTCGTGTGCCCTGGAGCTGCCAGCCGCTCCTCCCCACGCCCCACGCCCCTGTATTGCTCCCAGCCCCACTTGTGCCTGGAAGCGATGGCACTGTGGTATCTGGAGGCTCAATACTTTTTTGCAGGCCCGGGGTTCAGTGAAGCTGTGCCAGAGCAGCTGAGAGCGCGGCGTTCCCCTGCAGCCTGTGCCAGCTGCGGCAGACGTGCTGATTGCCCTCTGGGAAGCTAGCCTGATGGGGGACAGTGCAAAGGAAAGCAAACCACAAGGCATGGGGCTTTTCATTGCCAGGTCATATATTATTGATGCGCAGCCTGCCCCAAACCCCCAACCCCCACCGCCCCAAGACAATCAGAGATGGACCCGAAGCCTGCATTTCTCAACCCAGCGCTCCTCTCCGCGGTTATGACTGAATGGTGTTGACAAGTGGGGCTGGATGCACGTGAGAGGCTGTGGGACAGGAAGGAGGGAGGGGTGGAAGGGTGCAGGGGTAGGGGCAAAGCTGACATGAGCTGCATCCTGAGTGCTGTGGGGATGTCATCTGAGTTAGTCTCACAGCGGGCTCATAGCTGGATGATGCATATTTGGGAGCAGAGACTCAGAGAGACAAGTGACCTGACCAAGTCCTCGTAGTTAGTAAAATGATGAACTATCATCCAAAAAGCATCTAGGCATGCCGGCTATGTGCCAGCGGCTCTTTTGTATGTTGGGACATGGCGGTGAACAAAACAAACAGAACACCCCCAGACCTTGCCCACTTGGAGCTTCGAGTCTAGCATGCCAGGGAGGCACCCAAGAAACTGCACAAAGAAATACACCACTGGGTGTGCTAGAAGGCAGTAGGGTCTCTGGATACAAAGACAGCAGGACAGAGATGAAGCAGGGAGTGCTGCACCCTTCCCTGTAGGCTCCTTGCTTCCCTGACCCCATTCATTGTCTTCTTTCTCCACCTGTGTCAGTGTGATCCATCTGGTGAACACGAGCCAACCTAGTGTCTGTGAACCCCACAGAGGCTTCCGTGTTGATAAACAGTGATGCTGCAAACTACAGAGATTTCTACGTCAAATGGAGGATGATTCACTTGGGCTCCATAGAAGCAGAGGGGCTTCTAGAACACCAGAGACTTCAAATGGATTTTTGCATTGCTTTTGTGATTGGGGTAGTGTTTTGGGGTGTGTAGGCATAGCCAAAGCTATGGGAGAAACTAAGGGAGGGAGCGGGGGAAAGAAGTTATGAAACATACAGGGCGCATACCCTCTCTGAATTCCCCAAGAAGGATAAAATATCGGTGGAAAAAGTGTTAGGACTCTTGAAAGCACACCCCATCAGCTACGCAAATTATAGATTGTGGAGTGCAAGTCATGGTCCTCCGGTGTCAAGAGAACAGAAAAATCATGAAATGTTCATCGAGAGAGGAAATGCAAGCCAAGAATGTCAATTCTGGGAGAGGGTACGTAGGAGCTGGCTGTGTGCCACAGTCCATAGAAGAACCACGCTAAAGGAGCGTCTGGCGGTTCAGGACCATGGACATGCCCTTACCCCACCGGCAAACTAAATCCCAGAGATGCAGACTCCTCGCTGCACAGAATCAGTATTTCCATGACCCAGCTGCAGCCACTACTTTATACTCACCATGTGGCTTTGAAGAAAGCCAGGTATGACACACGCTATCCATGTCCTGCCCTCATCCCCTTGGCACTGACCTCTCTTCCCCAAAGGATGGTCACCATACCTGCAACCCTATGCCAGAGGCCTTTTGCTGTGGTCCCATAGGGACAGCTCCTGGTGCTGGGGCTTCAGTGCTGTAGGAGTGGCATTAGTTCTGAGGAAGATTCTACCCTGTCTCCCATAGCTCCTCAAAGGGACTGAGCTCTGCTTGCCTACAGCAGGACCTGGCTCTCAAAGAGACTCTGGATGCTTCTGTCACATCCCAGCTTCCCTACCTCATTCCCTACCTGCATTTCCTGGGGGACCATGACTCTGGGCAACAGGTGCAGACATTTCTGAGCCCGGGGTTTCTGGTTGGGGCTAACAGTGCTGATGTCCCAGACGGGGTTCCAAAAGGTTATGTGACCCTGAACCTTCATCTGTTCATCTCTTAAAGTCAGGAAAATAAATCGTCCTCAGCCTGTCTACGAGTGTGCCTCAAGAAATTCCGGTCTCTAACGAGCATTAACGTAATTGTAAATGTGCTGTCAAAGAGATGTGGCTATTTTTATTATTTTATTCAAAAGATTACCCAGAAGACCAAATCTCTTTGGAGTACCTTTAAGATCGAAATTAACCAAGGGCAGATTAGAAGGAGAGAAACGCCAGGAGACCTAACGTCTGGTTCTGTTAATACCTTGTACACGGTGCCTGCATCCTAAGGCCAGGGAATGGACTAAGTTCATTCTTTTAGTGCCAGCACCTAGCCTTGTGCCAAGCACACTATACGTCCTTAATACCCATTTGTAAAATGCATGAACTATTACGGATCTACATGTGACCTTGAACAAGTCACCTAATCTCTCTGGCGTGAAGCCAAAGTGGTCTTTGAGTTCTTGCAGCTCTAACATCTTATGATGTGAACAAATATTGGCCACTGTATTGTTTTGAGAAAACACAGATGCAGCCAGAGGGACTAGAAGTGGACACACAAGCCCTCGGGAGGCTACATCAGCCAAAGGCTAGTACTGCAAGAACTGGGAGGAGATTCAGTTTCATTGCTCTTGAGGGGAAATAGACCTTAACAGAAGTTACAGAAGAGGAAGAGGAAGAAAGACAGGACATGTAAAGAGGTCCTTGTGTACAAGGTCCTGGGCTAGGTGAGGCAGGAAATGAGGCCATGGAGGATTTTAGGATGGTTGTTTTCCCAACAATAGCCAACTGGACCTTTACCCAGCTCTCAGAGGGGAAAGCGGAGGCAGAAGAGTCGGAGTCATCAGGAAAAGCAAGCAAAGCCTCTGCCGATTTTAGTCCTGAAAGCACACTGCTAGGCTCCCGGGACACCAAAGAGTCAAAGAGAAAATCCGAGCTGGGCTTGGCAGTCCCGGAAAGTATGTCATTTTCTCAGCTGAACTGGATTCTCCCAGCTCTAGCTGAGGTGAATCGGGTTATATTTTGATTATTTAATCGTCCAGTTCTCCCCTAAGTGTCTGAAAGGAAGGCTACCAATAGCTGTTTATAATTCAGCCCAGGAGGCAGGGCCATCTTGACCCTCCTAATAACCTAATTTGTCATTAACCCCATTTTGTAGGTGAGAAAACTGAGTCCCTAGGAGGGAACATGAGTCGCTTGATCTAGAGTCGGGGCTCCCTCCAGGTCTGCCTGACTCCTAAGTGCTCTCTTGGCACCACAATGGAACTTTTTCCCATGAGCACAGCCAGATAATGTCTCATGGAATCAGGAGAATTTGGATGAGTGGAGTATCTCGAAATCAAGAACTGGTCATACAATAAGATTTCAGAACCTCTACCCCCTCCCCACTGTCCAGAATGGTGCCTATCAATTCTAAATTTCTTTACCAAGGGGCCCAATTTGTCATTCCACTTTAGGCTCAAGGGAAAGTGGCTGTTGTCAGATACAGTCACAGACAGGGATAAGTGACGGAAACCTTCCCAAGCAGAGAGAGAAAGGTGCCTGCAACGCTGGACACCTGTCACGAAGAAGATGCTTGGGAATGCACATGGGAGACACAAATACATGATTTCACCAGATTGGCAGGAATGGCATGCCTAGCTACGGGGTACCATTTCTAGAGTAAGCACCCTTGCCCCAGTGCTAACGGTAATTCCTATGTATCCTTGTGTAAATGTCTTCCTCTCTCAGGCCTCAGTTTCCCCAGCGCGAAATTAAATGATTCATCTTGATGACCCTGGTCTCCTCCCAACTCTGATGTTCCAGACTTTGATGGAGTTCTGGGTTCAGGGACAAGCTTTAGGAAAGGTTAAAGGGCTTCTGAGATAGCAGGTAAGAACAGATTCGACTCTCGAAACCTGAGCAACCGCTCAAGATTGGAGCAGGAGTGAGAGAGACAGGAAGAATTACTTAAGAGATGACATCTCAGCACTGCTTACATCAAAAAGCAGCCTCACAATGGACAAGTCCCCTCTCTACTGTGACCCTCAGGTCCCCTGGCATAATCTGAGAAGTGGTCTCTCATCAGCACTTGGCAGTGTTCTGGACCCAGTGACATCCTAGACCATCCTGGACCCTCACCATCCCAAAGACTAGAGTGACAGGTGGAGAAAGCAGCAGTCTCTTAGGAGTTGTACGAGAATTTCTGTTGGGGTTAGGGGATGACCCTGTTTTTGTGGGGAAGATGCCTCAGGGACCTTCAGGGCCTGGCTATCTGCTTCTGAGAAAGAACAGAAGAGAAAACGTGCAGCGAGGAAAGTCATAACAGGGTTCTGCCGGGAGAAGTGCTGGGTGAGGAAAGGAGGTGAGAGCAGGCACAAAGGTTCCCCACAGGGCACTGTGGGATATGGCCACTCTCTGTGTCCCCCCAACTCACATTCCTGTCTTCGGTAAAGTCTGAGAAACCAGGAAATGCCCACTGATGTTGGGCATCCTCTGGAAACAAGTGGAGAGGCTGAGTTTTCAATCTGAGGTTGGAGAGGCAAAGCAGACAGAAAAGGTAACAAGAGCCAGAAGCACACAGTGGGCCTTTAAAAAAGATCTTTGAAGGAGGAAGATGTGCTTACTTTACATTTTTTTTTAAGTTTACTTATTTATTTGAGTAATCTCTGCACCCACCACAGGGCTCAAACTCACAATCTCAAGACCGAGAGCACCCTGCTCTTCCAAATGAGCCAGCCCAGTGCTCCAAGGCACGCTTGCTTAGCCCCACTCCACACTCAAGTGCACCCAACACAGTTGAGTTGAGGTTGATGAGTGATGTAAGTAATGTGGTATATTTAGCCTTTTAACTAAACATTTATGATTTTGAAGTTTTGTTGTTATTGTTGAACTTGAGAACGTATTTTCCCTCTGTTTTTGTAGCTTCTGTCTATGCGGGTAGTGCTCCCTAGGTAAAGGGTCCTGGCAGAAGGGACCCTGAGGCTTTGAGTTTGCAGGATATTTTACATACATCTTGAAGAGGGCTCAGAATTTAAGTGAAAGCAGGGATATTCAAGAAAAATTCACCGGAAATAGAAGGGGGAGTCATTTTGGGGGGTTACCCACATTCTACCAGTTCCCGGGGCTACACGTAACTGCCTGTCCTGGGTGCTGGCTGCCTGGCTGCCAACACTTAGCCTCTGGGTCCTGGGCAGAGTGCCGAGGAGGGGATGTGTTTCCACAGCCCCCAGGACTAAGGGCTCCATGAGACGGAGGTGAGTGCTGGGAGAGAGGCCGCAGCACAGCTCACGAGGGCGCCCCTTGGGGAAGGTCAGTATTCATTAAGCACTTTCTCTGGTTCTGGAATCTTACACATACCTTCTCTTTCAGGCCTCAATCTTTACCCTTCAAAGTGGGCCCTTCTCCACCCATTTTACAGATGAGAGCACTGAAGCTCAGAGCCGTGAACTAGCTCTTTGAACCTCAACAGCTGGGGCAGAACCAGGAGTGGAATCCCAGTCTGTCGGATTCTAAGACAGTGCTCTTTGGCTTCAATTATGCTGCTAGGAAAAGCGAAATGAAGGGAGGAAAGGAAAGCAAACAATAAATGGAGGAAAAGAGTTGTACTGTTCACCTCTCTACCCCTGGGTTGAGAAGGGGGGCGTTAACAAGCTCAAGAGAGCGCCGGCGGGGCCTTCACCCAGTCCTCACTGCCTGCAGACCTGAGGAGAAGCGTCAGAGCTGGGGCCGAGCACTGGATGATGCTGACAACCAAGGTGCACAAAATGCCAGTGGGGGGCACCTGGGTGGCTCCGTTGATTGAGCGACTGCCTTCGGCTCAGGTCATGATCCCGGGGGCCTGGGATCAGGTCCCCACATCAGCCTCCCTGCTCGGTGGGTAGTCTGCTTCTCCCTCTGCCTCTGTGATCTCTCTTGCTTTCATTCTCTCTCAGATAAATAATAAAATTAAAAAAAAAAAAGTGCCAGTGGGTCCCAGTGGGTCCCAATGGGTCAGCGTGGCCCCTGGAATGAGGCTTCTCTGCATTCTCCAGGGAAGAACAAAGTTGGGATCAACAGCTATCAAAATGATGATCCCCCTGGGGCCTCGTCTCCACAGCGGGGTCACCCCCCTTCCACCGTTGTCAGCAGAGAAGCGACAGCAGAAGGGTCTGAATCACTTTGATCAAGAATCATTATTAACAGGGCACTTGGGTGGCTCAGTCAGTTAAGTGTCCAACCCTTGATTTCAGCTCCGGTCATGGTCTCAGGGTTGTGAGTTCAAGCCCTGTGTCTGGCTCTGCACTCAATGTTGAGTCTGCTTGAGATTTTCTCTCTCTCTTTCCCTATGCCCCTTCTCCCAGCTTATGAGCACATGCATGTGCTCTCTCTCTCCAAAATAAATAATTATTATTTTTTTAACGAATCACCTTTAGTGACAATGGGGTCTGTGATAATCAATGCTAATTTACACACTGCTCCTTCCCAGAGGTCTCTGCTTAAGAAGAGAAGTGTGATTACTTGGTCTGGAGTCATGAACACACCCCACATCTGGACCAACGGAAGGACTCGGAAAGCCTGAAAGGTGGAAAACAGTTTCCACTGTCTCTTCACCTCTCCCCAGCCTGTGTCTTTACAGTACCTCACCTGAAATGTCTATAGCTTTGTATTCAAGTCATACTGGGTTAAAAATGAGGGGACCTAAAGGTTGCATCCCATGAGTGCTTCCTGTTTTTCTTTTGGGGTTGTTTAAGGAGATAACTTGGTCTTTCATTCATCTCTCAAAAGAAACATTTCCTGTGGTATGACTTTTATCAATTTATCCAGCCATCCAGTCAAAACACTTTATTGAGTCTTATTAAGTGCAGATTCTGGGCTTGCTGACAGCAATGGGAAAATGGATTAGATGTAGCCACTGCCTTCCAGGAACTCATGTCCAGTAATCATTGGGAGTTCTGTCTCCCCCTGAAAATCTGGGGAAACGACTGACTCTCTCTAATCATCAAAATGCCTGAATACATAATATTATATCTAAGTTCAAGAGAATTCATAGACCTCCTCTCTGTCCCGCACACCCCATGGGAGTCCACTATTCCCACACAATAGAGTGACGGTGGGACCTTTGCTTGGTGTCTGGACCCATATGAAGGACCCCTGCTTGAGGGAGATATCATCTGGGGTGTCTGATAAAGGGAAGACAGTCCCTCTGATAAAACAAGGAAAGGAGAGGGCACCTCTGAGAAAAGGGTATACAGATCTTCCTCGACGTATAAGGGGGTGACCTCCCAATAAACCCATCATAAGTGGAAAATATTGCAAGTCAAAAATGCATTTGTATGCCTAACCTACTGAGCATCCTAGCTCAGCCCAGCTTACCTTAAACGTGCTCAGAACACTTACATATGCCTACAAAGTGGGGCAAAATTGTCTCACGCAAAGCATATGTTATAATCAAGAGAGGAATATGTCATGTTATTTATGGACTACTCTACTGTAAGTGGCAGACAGAATGGCTGTGTAGGTATCTGCTATGAGGGGCCACCGCCCAGCACCCCAAGGCTGTGCTGGACCACATATCGGCAGCCCAGAATTCAGAGTCGGGTTTCTACTGAAGACACACCACTTTCTACACCACCAAAAACTTGTTAAGTCGAACCATCGTAACTTGGAGATCATGTCACGTCATGTCAAACCCTGGTGTGTGGACTGGAAGCCAAGAGCATTCTTTCTGGAAATACCACTAACTTGCTCTGTGTTTCTCTCCATGTTCCTTCCTTCCTCTCTCACCGGACCTTGGTTTCCCCATGTTTCCAAATAATCAGTTATTCGACACGAGCTCTGAGAACCCTTCTGGTCCTGACGTCCTCAGTCAGCCAGGCCGGCCTCTTCTCCAGTATGTCTGACTCTGCCTCACTCACTCCAACACCTTGGGGCCTTGCCCAGGAGCTCTCCAGCAAGGGCTTCCTGCCCACTTCCTCTTTCCTCCTAAAGAGGAGCAGTGGCTTTGGTGACACCTGGGCCCCCACGTGGATCCCACTGTGGAGAGTGTGGCCTTGGACAAGTTCTTTAACCTCTCTGAGGCTTCGTGTCCTTCCCTGGGAACAGGGCAGTAATAATGAGACACATCTCTTAGGCTTACTGGGCCGTAATCCTATGCAGTGAGCCAGTCGTGTCTGTTCCAAATCTTCTTTCTTCTAATCTTTTTATTCCTCCCTCCCTCCCCCGCTTCATTCCTTCCCTTCTCTCTTCTGTAAGACCTGCAAGGACCCTGGAGGAGAATTCACTGCCGCATTAGCCACACACTGCTTTCTCCCTGGTTGCACAGCAAAACAGTGCACATGCGTTCCCTCCATCGGTGGAGGGAAACCAGAAGGGCAGATAAAAGCCCGCCCAACCCCGGGTGTCGGAGACCTGGGGGAGTGCCTGGGAGCAGCCTCCGGGTGTCCCACAGAGGAAGCAGGGCCCACCGAGCCGAAGGGCCCTCCTCCATACCTTTCAGCTGTGCAGGGTGACGGCACTGGAAGGAGCATTTGCTGCCAAAGGTGGTGCCTTGAAGGCAGGAGAAGGACGCGGCGTGGACGTGATGCTGGTCCGGGACGCCGCAGTCCACGGGCTCGCAAGCCACCTGTTTGTTCCACTTGCCCTCGCTGCAGGTCACCGTGACACTGGGTCCCACCTGGAAGGCAGAGGTGGGGATAATAAGCAGACGGCACGCCAGATGTGGGGGACACCTCTTCTACCCCACGCAACAACTCAGGGGTCTCCTCCTGGTTCCCGGAAACCCATGCTGAACCATAACTGACTTTTAATGAATTAGGTGTCTCGGTTCCCATTCTTCAGATGCAGACACTGAGGCACAGAGACACTGGTTAGCTCCAAGTGACACGGCTGTAAAGAGGGTACGTGGGAACCGAACCTAACAGCCGCACTCCGAACCGCTCCCTGCAGAGCCTCCCAGATCAGCGTTCCCATCGTGCTGATGAGAATCTCGGGACTCAAGACTCCTGGGGCCTGATGACTTCTTTCATGAACTGGCCGATGAAAAATGACACAACATTTGTTCACTGGCTCTTGATCATCATACCTTTTCCTGGCTCTGCAGGAGGCAACAGGGAGCCGCTTCAGTGTTTGGCATCAAGTGGGCAGTGCCCTGGGATAGGGGATATGTTTGTCCTCTGTGCTAGAAACCACAAAAAAGTCCCTTTCCTTCCTTAAGCTCTTGCATTGGCACTGAACCCCGGACTGCTCTAAGAGCCACTCCCTGCTCTGAGATCGTTGAGAGAGGTAGACGTGAGGATGGGACAAGCCTGGGAAAAGCAAAGAGGGTCGACAGGGACTGGAATGAGAGGATGGCAGGGGTGCAGGGTGGAAGGGTGAGGCCGGGCTTCAGAGCCAAGGGAGGGACCGCCACGGGCAGCCCACAGCCTGCTGTTCAAGGAGGAAGCCGCCAGATCCCAAGGGACTGGGGATGCCAAATGTTGATCCGGGATTTTAAAAGCAAAGGACATTTTTCCCCTCTTAAGCACAGATCAAAGGCAGCAGAGGTCCCTCTGTGCCAAAACAGCCTAATTGTTTCCACAGGAGTTCAGACCTGCCATGTCCGACACAAGGAAGTCGGTGTCTAAGACAAGCAATTGGGGGCCCTGGGGCTGCCTCGACAGGGACTCTGTTTCAGCCCAGAAGCTCCATACCACAGGAGTGTCCCTGTGTGTCCGCAGCAGGAAGGGGAAGCCTGCTGGCAGGGCCCCAGGAAAGGCTGCATCTAGTGGCAAAGCTCTGGAACCCTCAGATCTTCGGGATTCATTGCCCCAATGCCCACTCTGAGACCCCACAGCAGCGTCTGGCTACAGCACACTCCACCATGCCCCTCGTGCCGGACACCGCCCTTGTCCATGAGCAACTCCTGTGACTTGCGACGGCTCTTCCCGTGGCTGGTCTCACCGCCGGACGCCATGCCATACCCAAGTGGACAGCCAGAAGGACCTTGACCTACCACGATCCGACCACGTCACTGTCTTCAAAAGCTCCCCGTGGCCCTAAAGATCAACCTCAAACCTCCTGGGCAAGCGAACCGGGCCTTGACAGGAAGACCCTGCCTGCCCCTCCAGCCTCACTGCTTGGGTGAGTTCAGGGGAGGGGAAAAGATCTGTCTGGGGCATGCTCTTTCTCAGCCACAGGCCTTCCCATACCATTTCTGCCTGTGCCCCCAGCACCCGTTTCTTGCCCCTCCTCAGGGCACACCCCTGTGCCCATCCATCCATCTGGTTCTCCGTTTCCGAGTCACTTCCAGGGTGAGTCCCCCCGGGCTTCAACCACACCCGGCACCTGCCTCAAGCGGCGTTCATCACACGGCGCCGTCATGACTCTCTCCCTGGCCATTCCCGGCAACGGTCCTCCTTGGGAGGAGGATGCGGGTTTATCTCAGTGACATTTGTTTTTTGCTCTAGCACCTACCACGGCATCTGGTTCCTGGCGAACAGATGCTTTGCAATCTGTTTGATAACGACAGTGAATGAGTGAGTACCTCATTGACAGAGGGCTCCCCTCAGAACACGTCCTTCCACTGCAGCGGAGCTCAGCCTGTGAGGGTTTCCTTCCCGAGGGCTCTGCATGGGCCTTTCCACATTTGCAACCCCCAACAAAGACTGACACATGCTGTGTGGGACACTGCTTCACACGGGAACTGTGGTCTTAGAAATTCCAGGTTCATGGGTGGATGCATTCTGTCAACACGTATTTATTGTGTCTTTGCTGGGTGGCGGCACTCTGCGAGAAGCTCCACTCCAGGCCAGCCACCCCCCAACCCTGGGTGCTGGAGAGGGGCTCTGAGCCCAGCACCTGCACACACCTGGCTCTTAATGAGCTCGTCGTCCCGCTGTATCTGGAGCACGTAGCCTGTCCGGCAGCGCACGGTGCAGCGGGCGCCGTGGTAGCGGTCACTGCTGGAGCAGTTGAGAGACGCGTTCTCCACGGCCAGCTCCGGGCAGTCGGCAGCCTCACATGCGAAGTGCACACAGCTGGTTGGGGGAAAGCAGCAAGAGGGTAAGTGGGGGCTTTCATGCCCACCGCACGCCGGCGGGAAGGTCAAAGCTGATGTGTCTGGCACCAAGCTGAACGCCAGCCTCTTTGTATTTGGTGACAGTACTCACTTCGGAGGGGTGCGGTGAGCATTAAGACAGAGCGAGGGTAGGACGAGCACAGAGCACCATTCCCGGCCCACAGAAACACCCAACAGGTGGTCGCTCATAGTGTAAACAAGTCTGTGCTCTAGTACCTAGAAGCTGGGTGACGTTGGGCAAGGTACTCCCCTCTCTGAGCTTCAGAGAATGCTCAAATTGGGCCAAACCATAGGGTCGTGAGACTCAAGGGACGTGCTGAAGGTAGAGCTCTTATAAACTGTAGAGCGATGTATGGACTGTTAGTAAGGTCGTACAGAGATCACGTCTTCCTTCTTGCTGTAGCTGCCGTTCTAACCTTCTTGCCAATTTGAATGCTACCCACTCTTCAGTCCCAGCTCCATGTAAATGTCTACAGGAACCTTCCCCATGTCCCGGGGTAGGGGGGGCTCCCTGGCAGGCCTCCTGCCCTCCTTTCTCTAAATGGCCTCACACTTCATGCACTGAAAGCACAGGACCTGGGTGCCACCATGTGCCAGAATGTGTGCTAATCCTTAAGGAAATGGAAATCTAAAATCCCTGAGCTGGATGATCTTTCCCCTCCTGTTCCTGTTCATAGACACTCAGTAACATTAGCGACTGTTCACTGATCGCTTATGTACATGAGCTCACTCAGTCCTTACAACACCCCTATGAGCTAAGTGTTACTCATTTTATAGTTGGAAAAATCGGGGACCAGGGAGATCAAGTTACCTGTTTAAGCTCCCACCCAGATGTGCGACTCCAAAGTCCTTGTTGTTAACCTTGCCCCACACCTGGACTAGAACTTCCCTGAGGGTAGAGAGATAATATCTGTTTCATCTCCCTGTCCTCTGATTGCCATAAAGCAGCTTGGCCTCCAGTCGGGGTTTCCTAAATGGTGGCAGTGTGGGGCTTTGCACTTAAAGCACTTTGAAGAGATTGAGACATTGACTGGGAAGAGTGAGAGTGTGCTGGGGGCAGTTTTCGCTAACCTTTGCCTCTCTGACTCTGTCTACCCCAACGCCCGCCACACAGTGTGCACACAGAGCTTGGGGACAGCGAGCCATTGCTGGGCAAACCAGCTTCAGAAGAAAGTCCCCATTTATTTTCGTGGTGCCCATTTCAGGAGACCCTGCTGGGGGCTTTACAGGAAGGTGGTTACTCATCTCCAAGCTCTCTCCTTGGCTCAGGAGCCTGCTGAGAGCCTGCTGGAGTGGTATGGAGCTAAAAGCCTCCAAACATCACAAATGGCTTAAAAAAACAAAAACAAAAACAAAAACAAAAAACAACTCAGAAGAGGGGAGCATCTGATTTAGGTCTTGGTCCCACACCCGACGTGGGCTTTGCCTCTCCACAGGCCCCCTTTCGGAGGCGGAGAGGGATAAAGTGACACCTGCAGAGATGTTGGGATTCTCTGTCCTCCTTCCTGCCCCTGACAGCCTGGCCCTAGCTGCGCCCGGTGCCCTGGAGAAGCCTCCAGGAGCGTTTCTGTGGACTCAGAGCAAGGGCTCTGACACCACACAATGCATCTGTTCACGGTGTGTAAGGCCTGGGGGCAAGAGCCACATGGTTCCAATTTAAACAGATTTACTCCACAAGTTACCAGCTCCCAAGCCAGTCTTCTGACCTATGCCTTCCAGTGTGGCCATGCTTGTTCTACACTCCTGAGATGATGACTGGGGGGCTCCGGGCTGCCCTGGGCTGTGGGGGCCATGAAGAGAAAAGCAGCACGTGCCTGTCCCCCCACCCATTTCTCTGCATGTTAATGTTCTTCCTAAGAAAAAGAATAGACTGGAAACAAAAATGGATTTGTTGAAATGAAAACGGCACAGGGCTTAGCAACTGGGCAAACCTGAGCCCTACCCCAGCAATGCCATTTATGGGTTGTTTGACCTTGGAAAGTCACATCATATGCTGAGACTCAGTCTTCCCATCTGCAAAATGGAAGCAATAAGCCAATTCATCTCTCAGGAGTGTCAACAGGGTAGCATGTCAGCCACTCATTCACCAATTCAACAGACCTTGAAGAGGGACCTTGCTATACTGTTCTAGACAACGGGGCTATATAGAAGATGCCTGCCACCTGCGAATTTGAGGAGAAAGGACATGCGCCCCAGAAAAGCCATAAAGAAGCCTGTTTCAGATAGTCGTGTGCACAGAGAGGGCACTAAAGGTGAAATCATGGAGGATGACTGTTGGAGGTTGGGGGAAAGATACCAACTGCACATGGGTCACGGAAGGAAGCCTCCACAAGGAAGGGACATCTGAACTAAGACCTGTATGAAATGAAGGGATACGCCATGCAAAGGTCTGGAGCAGAGGGAATCCCCAGCAGGGTAAAGAGCACGCACGAAGGTCCTGGACAGGATGGAACTCAGCATATTCAATCAAAGGGCCCATGGGTGAGAAATACTTTGGAAACCATGATGCTACAAGAGAAGGTGGTTTCTCTACTCTGACTCTCTGGGCTGTAGAAGGAAAGTATCTCCTGGTCACATGAATTATCTGACCAAAAGTTTTCACAGTCAAAAGAATTGGTAGTACTGGATTAAAAAATCAGCTCCCACCCCCATACACACAATTGCAGGACTTCTTAGAACCTTCAATATTCTGATACCCATAGTGGATTTCTAAAAGGGGCTATGATTTTCCAAACTCTGATAAGCTTTTCCAATAGGAGATTTCTGGGCTAGTGTCTTCCAGAACACACTGTGGGGACCGGGGCATCTCTGTTTTTCCAGCACATCTGTGTGTGCCGGCTTACAGGCTTGAAAATAGGGAGGAAAGGGGGAAGGAAGGTCATGTGTACCAGCTATCAGCTGTCCTGTGTTTTATCCGCATCACCTGGCTTGCATCCTCACCATAATTCCTTGAGGCAGTACAATTACTCCCATTTTCGAGAAGAGGAATGTGAGACTCAGTGAGCTTAGCTGCCTGTCCAAAGGCACTCTTGTGTGGACAGAAACCAGTAAGGTCTGCCTGTCTGTCCTCCAAGCCCCTGCTCTTCTCTTTGCTTTCCCATGAAGTTGGAAGGGTGGTGTGAACACACTGTCCCAACAATGATAAACATTACCCCACGTGCTCCTCCCTAATACCTCCCTGACACAGCCCTGTCATTGCTGAAACACAAAAACAAGGAACAAAAGAAAAGCCTCTGGCTTCGTTAAAAAAAAAAAAAAAAAGGAAGGATTTAATACCAGTGATGAGCAATAAAAAATAACAAAAGGGAAAAAAAGAAGACACTTCTCAGAGGGAGGAAGCTGGTTGATCTGAGGGATGGGGGAGGGGACATAGGTGCTTTTATCAATGAAATTCTCACACTTGGGCAAAGATGGGGACACCCTCCCCCCCCACAATGATAATCAGATATTTAGAAATTGTCTTTTTTCCGTATATGTGTACGTATGTGTATATATGTACGTATATACACACACATACATATACACACAAATATATTTATATGTGTACCTATATATAAATAAATATATTTACTTCCTTATAGACTCAAGTTCCACATAAAGGCATATCCTTAAGTGATTGAATAGCCAATCCCCCCACTGCTGTTCCCATAGCCCAGGGCACTGGTCTCCAGAATGGGTAGGTATTGCTCAGGCAGAATACAGAAGACCAGTGGTAAAGGGCTGGTGAGGGTCCCACTCCTGGCTGTGTCCCTTGAGTCTCAGCTTAGCTCCCATATTCTGCTGCTTTGCTGCAACTACTTTATGGGGCGGGGTGGGGGACAGTAAGTAACAGAAGGTGGATTATAAGTCACTTTGGGCTGCTCAGATGGAGACAGCGGATAAGACAGCATGTCCATGCCAGGAAGGGAGGGAAGATGCTCCTGGCAGGAGGGCCGCAGGGTCCCTGGGAAGTGAGACAGAGAAAGAATGATCAAGATAGGACTCCTGGTTCTCCGCCCAGGAATGCAGCGGCTGCTGGAGGGGATCCTGAAAGGGTCTCGCACCCTGGAATCCTAGGAGCCAGGGAGGCGCTGGCCCAATGGTGATGAGGCAAAGTCAAGGTCTGCAGGGTCGGGATGGCAGCGAGCAGCTCTTGGGGTGCCCAAGGGAGGGAGGGGGGCCAGCAGAGCAGCAGCAGGTCACTCCTGGCCCAGGTGGCCCACAGCATTGACCCTCTCGTGTCTCCAGACCTACCCATGTCTTTACTACGAACACTCCTGGTAGCTAAATGTTGGCAACTTATTAAAGGAGAGAGGGCCAGACACAAGTTATTTGTGGTCCTTTCTGGCCTATTCGACAGCGGTCTTGAAACTTCTGATGAAGAGGAATGTGCTTTGCCCCAGGAGGCCTGAGAAGTGAATTCCAATGTCGCTTCTGCTGCTGAGCGGCTGGGTGGCTCGGGGGAGCTCACGTCCCTTGCTTGGACCTCAGATGAGAATGCAGAACCAGAGAACCCGTTAGAGGCCTCCCAGCTTTCAGCGACCACAGTTTTATGAAGACAAAACAACAGAGACATATAATCTCTGAGCTCTTGGGGAGAGCGAGAATAAATTTTGACAATCCTGATTATTGACAAGGATGTGGAAGCAGAGGAACTCCAGGGGACCTCTGATGGGAGCAGAAGTTGAACAACATCTTAGAGAAGAATCAGGAGCAACCGGTTCCGTTGAAGAGACACAGGCTCAGGCACCTCAATTCCATCTATGAGGCGTATCCCCCAGACCAGCAACTCCCAACAGGTGTTCTGAGAAGGGCTGATCCTCTCGCGGGCTGGATAACTTAGGGAAGCCTGTGGTCTCTGGCCACGAGAAGCTTCTTCCTGGGCTCCGAATCTCACACGTGATTTTCCTATATGGTTATCTGATGGGTTGGATATTCCTTGGTGGGCTCCTGTAGGTACCTATCCTCACCCCCACCCCACCCAATCCAAGTCCATGCGGGCTGGAAGGACTAAAGAATGTATTTCCTCCTGGAGCTGCCTTTCTCACAGTTAGCTCCCTGGCCGAACTGTTCTCTGGGTGGGCAGGCATGGGAAGTGGGACGAGTTTGTGGTAGAGGGAGAAAGAATGCAAACAATAAAGGGGGTTGGAGGAAGGAAGGAAGGTAGGAAGGAAGGAGGGAGGGAATGAAGGGAGAACAGAGGGATAGAGAAAGGGAGGGAGGGAAGAGAAGGGAGAGAGGATGGGAGTTTACTGATTGTGTAAGCACATGGCCCACTGGATTTTATAATAAACTGGTTAATCTCTGTTTAGAACCATAGGATAGTGTGTGTGTGTGTGTGTGTGTGTGTGTGTGTGTGTGTGTCAGACACACTGGAGCCTCAATCCGTGAGTGCTGCTTTCCTCACTGAGTTAGCCTCTTATCTTCCCACCACCATGGCTAAGCCTCCCACCGTTTCCTCTTCCCCGTAGGTGTGGTGCTGGGATTTGGCTAGAATTCCAGGACTGGACCTCTCCCTTGAAACCCGATCCTGTTTTCGTGGGCCTCTGGATTCAGTGCAAGTGCTACCCGGGGATTGGAGACCCTTGAATCTAGGTCAGAACCCACGGCCCGGATTGATTTTGCTCTAGGGATGCTCCTCTCAAGGCAGCCCGCTAGGCATCACGCTGCTCTCCGAAGAGAATGAACACGGGAAGGGGAAAAGGGTGGGAGAGGAGGCAGAGTGGGTGGAGACAGCGGGGAAGGGCCAGAGGCGGCAAGAAAGAGGATCCGTGGGGACGTGAGGGCTGGAGGGCTGGAGGCTGGGGAGGCGAGGCGGGCCCCTCTCAGGCCCGGGAACCAGCTGAGAGTCAAGTGGGCTGTTTCTACCAGAGCCAGCTGAAACGCGGGCTGTAAAAAGTGATGCTATTTACCTTGGTGTTTTGAGAATGAAGAAAAACATCCCATGGCTTTTTACAGTTGTTGCTTATTTTTCTTTTCTTGCCTCCTGGTTTGTTTGTTTTAATGCACTTGTACATTTGTGTGGTCCCAACTGTTTGGGTGAGAGCTTCTCCAGCTCTACAGGGGCAGCTGCCTCCTTCCCCAGCCCCTGTCCTCTGGAGCATCCCCCTGGCCCCGCAGCGGTGGCACTGGGGGCTCAGCCCATCTCAGCCAGGTCCACGCTCAGGGCCGAGCCACGGAGGCCCTCAGGGCCACGGGCCCCTCACCTCCAGCTGCTCCCCTTGCTAAATGCTCACACATGAGCAGCCGTGACGAGTCCCCTTCTCTCCTGGATGTGCTTGACTCTGATGAGTACCTCGTGGCTTTCAGGGTCAGACAAAGCAAGATTTTGCCTCCTACTGCCCGGATGGCCTTGACTCACTGTCTCTCGTCCACACCTCACGGGACAGGTGTGATAATGAAATAAAATAATGGTATAAGGTAATGAAGTGCCTGTCGCTGACCTCCCCCTCCTTCTTCTCCCTCCCAGCTCGTGGGAAGCACAGAATGTCAGAACTGGAACATCCCATCCTCCGCCATCATTCCATGGATGCGGAAACTGAGGCCCAGAGAGGCGGACTGACAGGCTCATAGTCATATAACCAGTGAGACCCTTGGTCCCTTCCCGGTGCTCTTCTGCCTCCAGTCAGCGAACCCAACAGCTGCTAAACAGTTGATTTGTTTCTGAGCTGAGACACTTCTAACTGTTTACTTCGGGCACAGGAACCGTTAATTAAGAATTCAAAGAAGCCAGTGCTGGCCTCCGTCAGCTTGCCCGTGGTCCCGGTGGCTGGTTAAGGACGGGAAAGAAAGGGCTGCAGAAAAGGTCTAGTGGATTTACACTGCCCATCAACACTGTTTCCCTGGGTTCTGAGAATTGACTTATTTTTATAGTCTGGAGAGCCAGAGATGAAAAAGCCCTTTTAGTGTGAAATATAACAGTGAGTGATATTTAAGGAGCTCTTTTGCCTCTGCACGATTGCAACAGACTTTGCACAACAGAAGCTAGAGACAGTGGGTGCAAAACAATGCGGGTTTTGCAACCACCTTTTGTGTCCCCTGTGGTGGCAGGGGCGTGGGAAAGCCAGGGTTGTTCTCCCCCCAACCCCCGCCCTGCCCCCCAATCCTCTCCTCTCCTTGCTCCCAGGTATACAGGGCAGGGGGCGATTGCCTTTCAGAGGGCCTCACTCTGGGGGAACCCACAGAGACCACGGCCCCCACCCCCCATGCCTCAGTCTCTTTTTCTCCTTCTGGATCTCATTAAATAAACGTGAGAGTTGCTGTGGGAGCAGGGACCAGCCCTTCTTTCTCCCTTGGGGGCCCTGGAATTCTAAAGGGCAATGCGGGAGTGTGGACACTCTGGATGTCCTAGATGATCTCCAGAGCTTCTTCCAGCTTTAAGTGCTTCATGGGGCATTCTCGGCAGAGAAGCACCCCTGTCAGATCAGAAAGTGGCCATAAATATCCCATATTAATAGAGCAGCTTGGCACAGTGCCTCACGGTCCGCGAGAGGGCCTTGCTCTGTGGTGCACCATTGAACCCCCATTACCCACCGGTGGGGTAGAGACTATCGTCCGTTTATCCAAAAACGGGAAAGCAAGACTCAGAAAAGTTGTCACGGACACACACGCAAGAAGGGACATGTTCAGACCCACCTAAGAGGATCACCCAAACTCTTACTCTTTCTAGGAAATAGCACGCTCTCTCAGCTCAGACGAGGGGCATTAGCAGACACCAGATCAGAGGCATGGGTGGGGGTAATGCTGCCCCACGACCAGAGACCCCGAGACCGCAGAGGGGATCTTAGGAGCTGGGTTTGGGGAAGACGGGGAGATTTCCTCAACACTGGAATACGGTGAACGGAGACACAGAAAATACAGGCTCCCTCCATCCCCTAAATAAATATTCCAGTATTTCCGAGCTGCAGGACAGCTAATCCACCTCTCTTCTCTTTGTCCAAATGTGGATGCTGAGACCCAGAGAGGGGAAGCGATGTCTACCACGCGAGTGAGCCATTGTCTGCACTGGGACTGCGAGCCAGGTGAGGGAATGTTTCCACCAGCGCACATTCCTGCTTCCCTCCCTCACCCCTGGAATCCAGGGACACGTGTGGGCCTCCCAGGCCCAAAGGTAGAGCCGGCCAGAGGCCAGAGGATGGAGCAGGGAGAAACACACAGACTTTTCACAGCCACACGCATGTCTATGCGGTTCCGGAATTCCTCCATCTGCTTCTGGCTAGCAAACGGCCCAGGGCATTCCGACACAGGGTCCCTTACCTCTGCTCAGCAGAGCTGTAGGTCTCCCCTCTCTGGCAGCTGCTCAGGGTGACGGGGTCAAAGTTGTCGAAGGAGCGGAGGGCCACCCCCGAGATGGCGACCAGGGGTGAACTGAAGCTCACACGAACCGCCCGGCTATGGTAGAAGGGCCGGCTGAGGTCATGTACCACAGGGATAATCAGGGGATTGTTCCTGCAGCTCAGGACATGGAGGCCTGTCAGGAGAGACAGAGGGCCGAGGGGCCAGGCTCATTACTCAAGGCCAGTCACGCCCTCCCCAACGGGCCCTTCCCGAAGCCCCCAGACCCTTTCATGTCACTGCACAAAAGCACCATTGGGTGGCCAGTGGGGATTTTGAGTTTGATTGAAAGTTTCTTTGTCTGCCTTTTTCTCTTGGTTCCAAATCTTTCCAATCCCTTTGCTTCCCTGCCCCCTAAGCTTTCCCTTCACCTAGCGCCCACAGCCTCTCTCCCTCCCCCAGGGGCCACCCCTCACAGAAGCATGGCGGGCCGCACCACCCTCCCACGCTGCGTTTGTGCTGGATGGTCCGAGCTGCTAGTTTTCAGGCTGCCTTCCCAGTCAGCCGCAGAGATGGTGCACACCAGCCACAGCAGCAGGCTGCCCTCATTTTTAGTCCAGGAACCCAAGAGCAGTCCTGCAAGGTCCAGAGCTCAGTAGCAGGGCTGCAGAGGTAACCCTGGAAACCAAGGGCAGGAATTGGCTTCCCAGAGGTGCCCCCAACAGCCAGCCATGTACAGGTCATGCTGAGCCCGGGCTTGCCCCATCCCAAAGCCCTCAGTTCTTTCTAGAATGGGGAATAGGTCCCCAGGCTTCGAGGAGGAAGGGAGGAAGCAGAGAGGAAAGGCATGCCCAGAGGACAGAAGGGAATGCTGGGGTGGGATACAGTCGGAGAAACAGACACTGGCTCTGGGGTCTGATGGACCTCAGTTCACATCACGGCTGAGCCTACCTAACGATGTGAGTCCGGCAAGCTCCCAAAACTCACTTCCTGCATCTAAACTCAGGGCCGAATCTGTGTGCATCCCAGCAGGCCTGCGCTGTTGGGGACGTCCAACTCCCCATCCAGAAGGCGCCCTTCTCTGGTCCCTCAGAACAGCAAAGACTCCCCAAGGGGTGCCAGGATTGGAGGACAGAGGTCAGGGGACACTGCAGGGGGGGACGGGGACACGTGGAAGCCTCAGACACTGGGTCATGGGATCCCAGCAGCTTCTGTGGAACCGGACCTTTCCCCACGCCTCAGAGCCCGCTGCAATGGCACGACAGCTAGGAAAATATTTGCTTCTCACTTAGGGAATTTTCTCTGGAATCCAGATAAGTCCAGAGGGGTTTTCTTTCTCTTCCTTATTCATATGACCCCACCCTCCACCCCAACCCCATCACTTCCCTTGCCTCTAAAACTAACTAAATAAGTAAACATAAAAACAAAACAAAATCCTCTCCCTGCTCCCTGGGCTTCTGCTTGACCCTGAGATGACCCCTTGCCTGCTGGCTTCATACGGGTCTTTGAACCGAGCTCTCTATGGAATGGCGCAGCCATAGCTATGGAGGCCGGCCTCCAGGGCTGGCCTGGGATTCCAGACACTGGCAATGGCTATCCAGAGTTAGAGTGGAAATGTGGGAGGGACAACAGGGCTTTCCCAGTGTGGGCGCTCACGCCGGGCACTGTCGGCCCTGAGGAATCCTTCTCGCTCTGACGATGAAGTGGCACCACTGTCCCCATTGTGTCCTTGAGGAGAGTAAGATGCCACATGAGGGACTCTGAGGTCAAGAAAAGTGTGTACCTTCTCGAGCTGAGGGAGTGGCAGGGACAGGACGGAAGCCCAGGCCATCGGCTCTGGAGCTGGGGCTCTTTCCTCTGCCCCATGCACACATGGGTGCATGGAGGGGTGTGCAAGTGACTGCCTGACGACTCTGGCCTTGTCCCTTACCCCAGCCCTGTGCAGAGACAGCCTCTCAGCATGCAGGACCTGGCTCTTCACCTGTCTTCCCATTCCTGGTCTTTCCTTACTCCTCCTCCTGTGGGGGAGTTCCTCAGGTGGTGCCGGCAGGAACGGCACGGCTGCCGCAATGGGGCGCTACGGGACACCTCCCTGTGCGGGGGGGGTGGGGGGGGCATGGCTAGGATTCCAGAGACCTGGCCATGTGACCCGGGATCTTTCAGTGCCTCTCTTGGGGCCTCAGATGCTGATATCTGCAGAAAGGGCCTTTGCTCAGTGTCCTTCCCGGGGCCTTTTGAGGATCAGAGGGTTGCCCGAGATTAAGGATGCCTGGTAGAAAGGAGCTCTTGAAGGGAGGACGGGGACTGTGGCCCCCAACCCCCCTATCTGCCACATCCAGGCTTCTCGGGATACACAAAATCCTCCTGATTTGAAGGCAAGCAGAACTTCAAACAGAGAAGCAAGAAAGAGGAAAGACGAAGGAAGAACTAGCTCTTGGTGGCTCCTTGAACCACCCTAGGCAGATACGGTCCTAAGAGCCACCTGCATGATAGCGTGCTCACCGAGATCGTGGCTCTGATCTTTGGTATCAAACAGCTGTACGCTGATGGTCTCCTGTTTCTGGTCCCCATAATAGGTGCCATCCGTCACCAGGTGGACGATGACAGCTGCGGCAACCATTGGCTGAGAAAAGTATGCCTGAAATGCAGAAGACACAGGAGGGTCACTCATGCACTCCGGCCACAGGGAGGGGGTTGCAAGAAGCATCTTTCATTGCAGGGCCTGGGCCGCTCGGCACGGGTCCGTGATGGGAACAAGGAGGCCGTGAGGAACACAGGCTCTGAAGTCAGAAACTGCTCCAACATGGCTCTGCACCTGCTGAGCTGTGTGGTGGGGAGAGGCAGCTCTGCCTCTCTGGGCCTAAGTTCCCTCACTCCGAAGTGATATATTAAGTAAAAGAACTGGATCACAGGGCGGCCATGAGTCTCCAGTAAGGTCACGGGAACAAAGGGTCTGGCATACCCTAAGACCACATAAAAAGGCATTATTATCATTATTTGTCCCTTCTCTGTCCTAGCCTCTGTGCAAGGCATCAAGGAGACAAAGCTAAGGAAGACGTGGCCCTTGCCTTTCTGCAGACCGTGGAGTTCAAAGTGGGTCAGTGATATGTAGATCAAAAGTCAGTACAATACCTAATCCTTAGTCAGGAAGATGGACCCAATGACAGAGATACAATACCACGTGACAAGCATCATCCGACAGACGACCGGACATGTACAGGACTAGAAGGGAGAGAACAGTCACTTCTCTGTGGGGATCAGTTAAGACTTCAAGGAGGAGAAGACAATCTTAAAAGGCCTTGAATGATGAACAGAAGGTTCCAGGCAGACAAAAGATATCCAAAGTCTTTGCCAAAACAAGAAGGATGAGGGGCATTCCATGTGCATCAAAGGGATTCTATTTCAGGGAGCCTCCTACTGCTAAGTGTTTTGTTCTCTGTCCTTACAATTAACACCCTCAGTGGGGAGACAAACCATCTTGCGAAAGGGTCACAGGAGCTGGTGCTTCCTGGGGCCCACTCCTGGAGATCCTGAAGCTTTGGCTTACCCGGAGCCAGAAAGTGGTCTGAGCCATCTGGGAGTATGGGTAGCTGAAGGTACAAGGGTACCAGGCATGCTGGGAAATGCCTTCACTGAGATCTATCACCTTGGTTCGACACACCTGGGGAGAGAGAAAGAAAAAAAGTTTTAAAGGAGCTCCACAGCTAAACTAAATTCAATCAGATGCACCTTCCCTACCTACCTATTTTGTTCTGAGCACCACAGGAGAACACAGGGGTGCACAGACAGGAGTCTGCCCCAGGAGCCCACATTCGGCTGTAGCACAAGGAGCCCTCAACACCGTGAAGGGAAGAACAGACAACATGTTTTGGCGGCAGAGGTAACAGAGAAATGCTCATGGGGACAGATGCTGGAGGAGGTGACCTCTGAGCTGGATCCTGAAGAACAGAGCGGACACAGGGGAAGGGCAGTGTAGGTGCAGGGATTAGGAGCAAAGGCTCAGGGGAACGGAAAAGTCTAGAATGTGCTAAGCTGCCTGGTACTCTTAGAGCTTGGGAAAGGTGGCAGAAAAGGCAGGATAAGGGGGTGGGATCTCACAGAGTGTTGAACTGCAAGCAGACCATTTTAGCACAGATCTGTACATTGTGCTCAGAGCTGTATTAAGGACAGAGAAAAGACTCAGGATGGCCATATCCTCCAGAGACAGAATGTGTGTGCGTGCGTGTGTGTGTGTGTGCACATGCACACGCACTGAGTCTATGCGTGCCTACTGTGTATCCAAATGTTATTTCGTCCCTCAGTTCATTCACTTATTCGAGTCCTATTGTTGGGAGACAGCGTTTTGCGGAGCACTGTGGGACAAGAGAGATGCCGAGAGCTCGGAACACTGAGCATAGATAGCCATGGAGGCACCACACTAGCACGTACTACTGTAAATTGTACAGCAGAAAACAGAAAAGTTCTACAATGGAAGAGGCCAGAAGCAACTGGCTTGTTCTTGAGATTGGTCAGACCTTCCGCAGAAGGCCATCTGGCATTCGTGTTTTTCTTCTGACGTTGAATGTGGCCCCTCTCGCAACCCTCCCCTGTGGATCTGGGTCTCCCTATATCCTATACCCGGGCAGGTCTCCCTACACTCATCGGAGAAAGGCTGACCTAGCTAACTCTAAGGCTCTTGAAAGCTATTAAAAAAAAAAAAAAAGACAAAAACCCAAAAGATAATCTAATATCAATCCTAATAAACACATGTACATGTAAAACAAATTTAAAAAGAGGGGAAAAAAGGAAAAAAAATATATATACAAGAATCAAGGCTACCTATTCCAGCCATATTTGTAGTAGCAAAAAATTGGGAATAGCTTACATGTTCATCTGTTGGGGAAGGGATGCATCAGGTAAGAAATATTCACGTGACAGATTTTCTATACAGCAAAAGACTCTTATGAGGCCTGAATTAGATTCATATATAGGGATGACACTAGAAATATTTAATGTCAGGTCCAGTATGGGACCCGGCCACTGAAAACAGAAGCCCTACTCCCGAGTTCAAGACCTCGATGGAGAGATTGTAAAAACATAACACCAAGTAAAAACAAGACAGAGAAAGGAACCAGGTATAAATGGACAGGTACAATATGATGTCATTTATAAAAATCACACAAAGCAAGACCATATATCGCCCAGAAATTCCTACAGAGGAGTGCAGATGAAACACAGAGTGGAAAAGTCATATATCAATTTCATTAGTCAAACTCAAGACAAAATACGTAATGCCTATGTTGTAATCTACAACTGCAATCTCAGTGCTTTTTTTTTTTTTAATGAGCTTTTTTTTTTTTTTGTACTGGGGTGATTTTATATTTACAGGAAAGTTGCAAAGGTAACATGGAGTCCTGTACGTATGCTTCACCTGTGTCCCTTACTGTTAATATCTTCATCAATTAATTCTCGAAACCCCAGAGGAAGATGATTTGCTTAGTCAGCATTGGAGAATCACCAAATCTTCAGGGTGAGATCAGTCACCCTGAAAGTTCTGCGGTGGCATGCCGGCCTCATTGAAGGAGAGCCTGGTTTACCTCTGACATCTGAATGTCAGATTAGGTCATAGGTTTTGAGGGATTCACAGGGTTCCTTGGAGGTGTCCATTGTGGGTCAGGCTGTGAGATCTGCTTCCTTCTCTCTCTACTGCTTTACCTGTAGCATCTCCACTCACCTTAAATACCCAGCTGCCATGTAATGTTTCCTTTAAGAAAAGAGCTTTACTGCATGAAGAACACTGAAAAGTACTGAAACCTGTTTATTGCCAAAATTCCTCACCCCTTCCCTGAGAAACCAGTGGGTTCTGGGCACACGGTATGAGTTTCCTGAATATCACAGGTAACCTCTTTAAGCACAAGAAGGGGCCAAGATTCAATCATCTCATTGGCCAGAAGCAGGTGAAGGCTTCTGCTATTCAAATCTCTAGAAGCCTAATACCAAGAAGACTATGGGCAAAGCAGCCACTTTATTAGGCTGGAAGATGTCTTCCAGTTTATTTATTTTTCTACAAAACAACTGGGACGGAGCTCAGGCAGATCTGCCAGTGGATCGTGTTACATTTGACAACAGTGCGAGACTTTGCATAAACTCTCTATGGCATTTGAAATCCAGGCCAGCAACTAGACCTGTATCGTTCTGGTCCTTCCCCTGTATTCTGAGCTGCCTGTCCCCAGCAGAGTGGGGTGGAGTGCATCTCTGGAGTGCTGGGGGCTGGGGAGGAGAGGGGGAGGGCAAGGGCTTATCTCTGCATCTAAAACATTCACGGTCAGAGAAGTCTAAGACATGAACAAAGCCCTCTTATTGCTTAAATACAATTTTCTCTTATCTCGTCGGCTCTATCAGCACTAGACAAGGTTTTAGAGGTACACACTGCTGTTATTTTATTCTCCTGTTTTCCTATTTAGATTGTGTTTGTTCCAAGCTGGCTGCGATCCTGACCAGGGACAGTCAGAGCAGATCAGAGAGGAACAAACAAAACCAGCTGAACCTTTGCCCAAAGCCCCAGTTGATCTTAAAACCATCTATGTTCCTGGGGGGAGCCTGGGGGTGGGGAGGGCGGGTTGCAGGGGAGAGCTGAAGGAAACACTCACAAGCCTCTTGCTTTTATAGACCTTGCGGATTCTGCTCATTCAGCATCCACTGACTGGGGGTATGTGGTGTGGTACGCCGGAGTCCGCATCCCTGAGAGAAAGAGCTTTGCCCTTGGCCGCAAGGTTGGTCACTGGGGATACAAGTGTGACCCCAAGGTGACTGATTCGACGGGCACGCTCTGTTTTCATCCACTCACTTCTTTGCACCTTCCAAGAAAAGCAAGTGTGATCGCATGAAGGATTACAGAGCAATTTAGATTTCCCTGAACATTGGTGGGGAACAAGCAGGAGACTCACATCCCACACTCCGTGGGGCCTCAAGCTCCCCCAGCAGCCCCAGGAAGCAAGCTCCGTCTCACGCATCATCTGCATTCCTCCCGTCTTTCCAGTGTTGTTGGCTCCAGTGAGCTCTGTGTCTCTCCCAACCTACCCCTCTTCCCAATCAGCACCTCTCAGACCCCACCTGAGTCATTCTTCTCTCCCCCGCGATTATCCATTAGGCACAAGTCCTTCTGACGATACCAACAAACCCTTGCTGAACGCAGCAACCGTTTACCTTCCCTGCCATTCTGTCATCTGTCCCTTTGCCTCATTCCACCTTGTACAACACACCTGGGGGCTCTAAAAACACGGGCAGCCTCTAGGCTTCAGGTTCCCCTAGACAGATGAAGACGGGGTTCCCCAGCTAGCACCTGCGTTGCGCACGCGCAGGCCCAGTGCAGCTTTACTGACAACAGCCGCGATGTGGAAACAAACTCATGGTCCTTCAAGAGGCCAGGGGGTGAGCAAAACGGGATCTATTGACACAGTGGGATATCACTCAGCCTTCAAAACGAAAACCCTGTCACATGTGACGGTAAGGATGAACCCTGAGGAACATCAAGCCAAGTGAAATAAGGCAGCCACAAAAGGACAAATATTGTATTATTCCACTTCCATGGGGAATCTAAAGTAGTCAAATTCGCAGAATCAGTGAGTGGAATAGCAGTTGCCAAGGGCTGGGGGAGGGCGGGAAAGGTAGCTGCTATCAGCAGACGTCAAGTTTCCAGTAAGCCAGAAGATGAAGTACCTGAAGTCCACTGTAGCTATAGTCAACACCAGCTTATTGTACACCCAGACACAGGTAGGTCTCAGGGCACCCAGGTGGCTCAGCGAGTTAAGTCTGACTCTCGATTTTGGGTCAGGTTGTCATCTCAGGGTCCTGAGATCAAGACCCACATCAGGGTCCCTGCTCAGCAGGGAGTCTGCTTGGGATTCTCTCTTCCTCTCCCTCTCCCCCACTCCTGTTCTCTCTCTCTCTCCAAAATAAATGAAATCTAAAAAAAAAAAAAAAAAAAAAGGGTAGATCTTTCAGCAACTTCTTTTGTCACAGTAAAGCATGATACAGTAATATTTTGAATGAGTAAAATCCTGATATTCATTGAACGAATGTGTACATTAATAAAAGAAGTGATCCAGTTCAGGTGGGGGGAGAGAAAGTCACATAATGATGCTAGGCAAAGAGCAGATGTGGCTGGGCTGGCGAGCATCCTCCCGTAGGTATTCTCAGGGCTGGAGGAAGGATTACCCAGTATCTTCTGGATTACTTCAGAGCCAGAGAACTCACTTCCCTTTATAGGCAATTCAATGGACTCTAGACAGCTCTTCCCAACAGCTAGGAGACGACGTCTGGCTCTAATTCCTCCTACTTTTTCCTCTAAGCAGCAATGTCTATAAGCTGATTTAGAGGTCCAGACTTAGAGGAATTGAAAAATTATTTACTGAGACCATTACTTTTGCTGGGCTCAAGGAAGGGTGGGCTGTCTTGTATAACATAACACAGCAAGTAGCTGTTATAGCAAAACTGTTATTTAAATGCAGACTTTTCTGGCTCCGAGAACTGATGCTTTTTCCTCACCTGTGCTCGGCACCCCCTCGATCCTACATTTTTCATAAAAATTTTATTTACTTTAGTAAGCTCTATACCCAATGTGGGTCTCAAACTCATGGGCCTGAGCTCGAGTCCCATGCTTTTCTGACTGAGCCAGCCGGG